AATTTTCTGGCTATGTTTTTCCTTAACAAATGGAAGCATTAGGCTAACAGTTGCCTAACCATTTTGCTAATTTAGCCAGTTACTGTCTCGCTTTTCTAGCTTGGTGGCCTCTCCTAAACAGGCTTGTGTTCAGTGTAATTAGTAACTGAGTTTCCACACTGCTTTTTGGGGTTTCATCCTTAGGATACCTGTTCTGTCATCGTGGATCAGGACACTGGCCCTCGTGGGGTCCCCAGGGGGCAGAGCCTTCCCCTTAAAACGGCAGTTGTGCTCATTTGCTAAAGTTCTCCCCATCTGGGAGTAGCAAAGCTACATTTCAAGGAATAGTCAGAGTTTTTTCAGTTATGTCTTCTACAGGATATTTGCGTTGCAAAGAATACCCATCCTCGTATCGTATAGGGCCGAGGATTAGAAGGGGCTGTCATTTAGTGCGCTGGTGACAGAACTGAGGCTGGAACCGGGATCTTCTGACCCCCACGCAGCGCCCCTACTCTGGTCTCACTGCCTGGGATGGAGTTAGCTCAGCATCCCAGATTTTATTCTATCGAATGGGAGGCCAGAAGTTTCAAAGAGATGTGGGTATGGGTTAGCTGGAGGCCCTGCCCTCTATTTCAAAGACACTTGAAAAGGCACTTGCCAAAAGCCATCTACTCCTAGGTCCTTAGGCAAACCCCAACCGCCTGGGCTGTCCTCCCTCCGGTTCACTTTTAGCTTGGACATTGCTGAGATGGAGAAAAGAACCCACCGGAGGGAGGCGGGGAAGCTCTTTTTGACCTGGTATGTTCAGGCATTGGAAAACTGAATCGTGGCCAATTAAAAATCAAAGTCAGAGACTGGAAGGACAGAAAAATCCAGCAAAGAAACAAGTTTTGTTGCAATAGCACCTGATAATGGGAAGAAAACCACATAGGTGGCATTTAAAAGGACCAATCTTTTAACGTCAGTATCTATCTACCAAAAGGCTTGCTCACTGCTTAAGCAAGGTGCTTTCCTATGTCTACTTACACAAATAACTAACATGCTTCCAAACGATCAAAGGTGCCTGGAAAAATAAATTGAGTGCACCAGAAAATAGATCCAAATTTATGAATGATAATAGAATAATAGTGACACTGATCACGATAATAAGAGACAGCTCTTAACACACCAAGATATGACCTATAAGAAGTTAGCAACAGCACAACATATATAAAATGGGTATCGTAAAATGGAAACATTTCTGAAATTATCTGCAGGCTAGGAAAGGCAAGAAAAATTCTGTTCCATTATCGAGGTCATCATAGAAATAAAACAATGTGCATTTAAACATTGCACACCAAATGTACCAAATAACAAGAAAAAAAAAAAAAGCTTCAATAAAGTGAAAGTGGGGCACCTGGCCGGCTCAGTTGGAAGAGCTTGTGACTCTTGATTTGGGATCATGAGGTTGAGCCCACGTGGTTGTAGAGATTACTTTAATAAATGAAACTTAAAAAAAAAAAAAAAGTGAAAGTAACAAATGCATGAAGTCCAGTTGCTTCAATAAAACGATCAGCCTGGGATTGCGGAGGAAGGTTGCAGTGTCCAGTTGGGTAAAAGGAGGTTGCTGGGAATAAAAGAATCAGGCACCTTTGCCCCTAATATGGTTTCGCAGGTAAATGGCATTTTTACTGAATCACTGAAATATATTATGAAAAATCTCACAATATATACTTTTGCTCACAAGCTGCTCTCAGACTTATGGAGTATTTAAAATGCTCTGGAACCCTTTTTTAGATCATTGATGGGAGAGGCCACAGCGCTCAGAGAGTGGAGTCTGGGATAACAGTCCGGTCGCTGGAGAAAAGCTGTGGTCTGAGGGGCAGGGGTTCTGTCCAGAAGGAGTCCCTTTGATCAGTAGGGAGAGGCCGAGGTTGAGGCCAAGGCTGTCACGCTCTTGGGTCACCGCCGTCCAGTGGAACGCCTTTCTGAGGCTCCTAGTAGGAGTCCAAGAATCCCCAGGTCTCCAGGCGCCCCAGAAAGGCTTCATCTTCCCACGGCCAGCAGCCTGGGGTGGACACGTGGAAAGCTGTGAGCGCGGCCCTTCAGAACCACACTCATTGTGAGGGACGTGGTATGACTACCTCAGGACTTGGTGAGGGGCACTCATACGAGTGGCTGTTTCACAAAAGAAAACCTTAACTGGAGAAACCACACTTCCTTCAGGGGCCCCTTCTGAGAGGGGCACCCTCCCCTTATGGTTAGTGTTTGGACGGGGGAACTGAAGTCTGCACCCCAACACAGAACTAGTCCACTCCTCTGAGTCTGTGTGTCAGGTTGATGGCATATTTCTTGGCCATGCGGTAGAGTGGAACGTTACTCTGTCCTGCCTCTATCCCTGCTGGTGAGCTTTGTATGGCTCTTGGTCTAGTAACCCCAACCGTATTCCCAGGGCCACCTCTTTCTCCCTCATATACCTGTGGGGATGCCTTCCAGAAGCACACACAACACGGGAGCTAATTTCCTCTTAAAGACAGGTATTATAAACACTTTTGGCCACATGGCAGCTACAGAGCCCCTCTGAGATTTATGCGGATCGTTCTAGAGCACACACACGGAACTCTAATGGCCACGGTGATGGGAACCCTGCAGACCTCTGCTCATTCATGGGAAATACTGAGGGTCTTTCACGGAGGTCTTGGATGGCCAGGGAACTGGCTGGCTTTTTTTTGGCTAAGTTATAGAACAGAGCTGGCTTTTAAGAAAAAGGTTAGTTCCTCTATTTTTGGCCACAAATACCTGGCACTGGCTTTCTCTGAACATCTCATCACATATCAGAAACCTCATCCCGGATCCCCACAATCCACGCATGGGAGCAATCCGAGTGAGTTCCCAAAGGCAAAGGAAGGAAACCAGCACAGGGAATTTTAGCCCCTCTTTGTTCAGGCAGCTTTGCATCCAGGTTTGCTGGAGAGGAAGCAGTTATCAGCTCCGACCGGAACCAGAACACCTCTTCAAATCAGAAGACACTGATGTGGTTAAAAAGCAAAGCAAACCAAGCAAATCCCTGACAGGCGTAAAGACAAATGCATCTGACCTGTCGAAATCAGCAAAAAAGCTATGGAACTGTAGAATCACAACATATTACACCTAGCACCACCCGTTCGTTTTCAGGATAGGGAAGCTGAAACTCTTTGCTCTGTGGCCCGCTGCCTTCCCCTGGAGACACGGAACGCACAGGTCTGTACTAACAAGTTCACTGTGACGTATTGAACTTAAAACCAATAGGAAACCCTGGAGATTTGCTTATGACCCTGAAACAAAACAAAACAAAACAACCAAGAGATCAAAGCAGTTTTTCACCAGGAGGTCCTAATAACAATGTTTTTATGAGAATAAACACCAAAAATGAAAGAAATAGAAAGCGTGTATTTCCCTACTCATCGGGAACATAATAAGATAAACGGTACCCCTGTCAAAGGCTATCGCGATGAAAGGCACCAGGCGTGTTTGGTAGGCAAACAAAATTGTCACGCAAGTTGACAAGATGGCAAATCTTTCTCCCACTTCACACAGGACTTCCTTGTGTGAAGGTGAGCTAGAATGGCAGGGAGCTCTGGGGGACAGAGGATGGGAACGGAGACAGAAAGGGATGGGGACAGGGACACAGGAGGGAACCAAGTGGTCTGAGGGCGAGGGTCGAATGGAAAACAAAAGAAAACAGACCAGATAAGGAGGGGAGAAATCTTCAGGGGTGCTAGAAGACCATCGCTGATGGGCTGGGGGGTCTTAGCCCTTGGGGGAAGGTCAGAGATTAGTAAGGGGTTTGGTAACCATTTGGGAAAGTGCCACAAATGTCAAAAAGGTAGAAACCTCTCGGCCTCTCACCATCTACTTTACATGGTGAGGAAGAGCCAGCCCCGGGCACTGTATGGAGATAAAAACGGGGCCCCTCGGAAATCAGGGACTGACCTGCAGCCCAGGAAAGGTCCTGCATGTTGAAAAATGACCTCTTTTTGGTAAACGGCACGAAGGCGTGAAAGGGATACCTTCAGGGGTCACAGGACAGCTGTGCACGTTGTTGGGGACACTCAGGATGAGGAGAGTGGGTGAGGGGTTGGCTCACTCCAGGAGGCTTAGCACCAAGGTGCCTTCACAGGAGGCGCTTTTGACCCAAAGGAGAGCTCAGGGGAAATAACTTTTTAAAAGTCATAGGAAAAATACCGTTAGTAAAAAAGAAGACATCTCGCTTTAACATCAAAACAGAAATGATAGAAAAACTTCAATCGTTAGCAAACTATATACAGGTAAATGTTTTCTTCCATAGAAAAGACCCACTGCCTGCAGTATAGACAGGTCCTTACCAAAAATAATTACAAGGAAAAAAGTAATTAATTGGAGCTTTTATCATCTAGGGATTACTCTTGGAAACTCCACCCCCCCTCCCCAGTGCCTAATGTATACAGTGGTCAGATAAGCTGTGACCTTCGTTATGCAATTCTGAAACTTACATTCTGACCTGCTTTGAAAAAATGCATTAAAGCTCAATTAAACGCACTGAAGGTTCCTGCAACAGAGCTTTATCTAGTGAATTACTGAGGTAACGATTGTTAAACTTAAGACGACAGGTTGACAGCCTGGGGGAGCCTCGCCCACAGCGTCTAAGAGGGCACGGGTGGGATTCGAAGGAGGGTGGGAGCCTGCTGGGGGGTGGGAGCCAGCCCAGCACCAAGGAAACATCTTCTGCTGGGGTCAATAAAAAGGAGAATCCTCATTCCTCAACCAGGAATATGGGTAACTGGAATTTTAAAGAAGGATTAAAAAAAATGCTGATTTTTCCCTGTTAGGGAAAAGAAAAATAAAACTCTAGGAGTATTTATGGGATTTAGTTTTAAAAAGCAACTTCCCAGGGGGCAGTCCACAACCATCGGCCTGTCCCCCCACCACCGGCCACCCAACGTTTCTGCTTCTCTGTTATTCAGCACACTTAGCATTTGTCCTCCAGGCCCCCTGTGTGGACGCAAGAGGGCCTGCTTTGAACCTGATTTGCCAGAAATTTTAATGCATCTTTTCCAAGCGACTCCATTTAGTTGAGGTTTGACAATGAAAAGCAAGGTTTTTTGTTTTGTTTTGTTTTTTTGTTCTTTTTTTTTTTTTTTTTTTTTTCCTGGACGGTGAACACGAACCACTGCATTGTCTAACCTTACATACGCTTTTCTGTGTTCCAAGTCCTTTCCCTGGACGGTCCTCCGTTGCCGGTGAGGTGGGCGGAGCCCATCCCCGGTCAGGGATGAGGGAACGGAGCGCTGCGGGCTTGCCCATGGTGGCCCCCAGGGGGGCAAGTGGCAGTCAGGGCCAGCACGCGCACCTCCCTCCCTGGGCCAGGGCGCTGTCCCACTGGCTGTGGGACTTGTAGGCCTGTTTATTTTGGCGGACATTTGCAATAAAACATTTGGTCTTTGGAATGAGTGGAGTGCAAGAAAAATGTCTCTTGGCGGGCAGTGTCACTGTATTTCTTACAGAGAAGAGAGCCCAGGACTGGCAGGTTCCTCTCTTGAAAGGTGGCCGTGATGGATCTGTCTTCCTCCACCGTTATTGGCTCAGAGTGGTTTGCTGGGAGGTGCGGAAGACCATTTGTCTGTATACAAATGTCCAGGATCCTGTGAGTCATCGAAAGTCCTCAAACCCATTCATTTGTGTGTCACGTCATATAGGGATGCTTTTTTATTTCTCCCATGCCCCCATGCGGAGGGGAGGGGGGTTGGGTGGCTGGTTCACCCGGCTGTAAAAACCCAGCAGTACTTACTGAGCCCCGTGTCATGTGTGGATCACCATCTGGGTCTCTTAGCTGTGACATATTCAGTTATACACATGGGTCCTTGACCCCCAAGGGGTCCGGGATGGACTCAAGCTGTCTGCAGCCCCTGGATGTTGGATGTGCTCGTCCGACTCAGGTAAAGAGGCCGCTGTTCCTACTTACGATAAGCATCCAAAAGGGGAGAACGTGGAGTTATCAGTTATCGACACCTTTGTGGGTCAGGCACTGTGAATGGGAAAAATAATAAACTCGTTGTAATGCGTTTGCTTTGGCTTGCAGGGCTGAGAAAAGATGTCATGGAGTTAAGGTCAGAATGTGTGCCCTGGGTGATCCAGTCTTTCCCTCCTGAAAGTGCCTTGGGGAGGAATTTCTCGGAGCTGTCGGTTTATTCAAGAAGGACCTTGTTTGCCTTTGAATACCCACCGCCCTTTGTTTCTGCCTTTCTCTGGCCTACCTGCCCTTCAGATGTGGACGTCATTTCCGTTCTGATCTTATCTCCCACCAGAGGTGAGTGGAGGTGAGAACAGGGGCAGTATCTTTGTGCTCTACACAATGTCCACCTGGTCCCAACACTTTAGGCCTTGGTACATGGTCGTGGCTCTAAGGAGACAGGAGGTGTTGAATCCTTGCCAGTGGTCGCCCTGGAGGGGCCAGGGGATGACTCATGAATTGGGTCCTAGTGTGACCCCACCTCCCGGTTGGCCAGGTTGACATCTGTCGTCATGGCGCACGGTTATCAACGGTGCCTTCCTTTACTTGCAACAAGTCCTCGATGGGACAAGAGAATATCGCCATCCTATTCACAGAAGAAGCAGGTGGCAAAGTGGTCTGCGTAGGGTGACCGAGGGAGAAGGAAGGCAGTGGGTGGGTAGTTACCAAGCTCTGTCCCTTCAACAATTCCGCGAAAGGAAGAGGGCTTATTCCAGATCCTCTTGAAAATATGTCGATTGCTGCCTCTCTCCATCATTTCAGCTCAGTGCCGGCTGGAGCCTCTCAGGACACCGGGCTACATGCGCGAGGCCCTTGGCTCTGAGGGCCAGCCTAGGCGTCCAACCTCATTGCCCAGTCTTCTCTCCTCTATGACCTCATCGCTCTTTCCTCTTGAAGACAAATGCTCTCTGGTTTTCCAGCTTGGTACACTCATCAGCCGATGACATTTGAGAGAACCCAGGAAGTAAAAGGGTTAACAGTGACGCACCAAACGAAGTTAAAGGAAACATGTTGAGAAGGAGCTAGGAAGGTGACTGGTCTCTGGCCCCAGCTTCCCGGGGAGGTCTTCCGGAGGTGGGACAATGACAATGCTGGCGGGAGAGGCTGCTCAGAGAGCTTCAATTGTCCAATAGAAAGGGGCATCCAGGAGCCCTTAAAGGTGTAGCAGCACAGCAGCAGACGGTCCCAGCTGTGGCTGTAGCCGAAATCCCGGCAGAGAGCTGGAGACACAGGCATGCCGAGCCTTCACTCTTCCGGTTGAGCTCTGGCCCTCAGGAAGGGCAGACGGCCCATAGTCACCTGTGGTCACCCTCTGATCAACCCTCAAGCCAGGCCCCTGGGAAGGGTCTGGCCTGAGACTCTCCGTCTTCTCCCTCCTCCAGGGCAAGGTGCTTTCCCCAAGGCTCTGGGCTGGCTGGCTTCACTTCTTGGCCACCAACCATGGACTCTGGCCCTTGAGGAGGCATAGAAAAGGGGAAGGTTGAGGAGGAGCCCTACCAGTGATCGGCACGTGGGGATACCTCTCCGGACCAGGGGGATCCCACAGACCTGGCCGACCCAGGCAGACTCCCGGCGTGGGCCCCCCTTCCTACCTGCTTTCTTCTGTAGAAATCTCATTTGCCCTCCCTTGACTGGAGAAGCAAGTATGGCCCGGGATTATGCTCAATGGAAGATTGTGCCTGGGATGGCGGGCAAGGCAAGGGGAGGACTGCTTGTCTGCGGAGCCAGCTCCTCCTTCTGTCCTCTGTCCTCCCTCCCTGGCAAACTCTGTCCTCCCTTCATTCTGGCCACACTGGCTGCCACAGAGTCCTCTGGCTGTGCCCTCATTTAGCACTTAGCACATACGTCTTTGCATTGCTGGGCACCCCTGTTAAATCCTGGAGGGCAGGCTGTGTCTCACAGTCCATAGGAGCCCTGGCCTTCCTGCCCCACTGCCTGCACATAGTAGGTGCTTCACCAAGTAGACTGTTAGCTCGGCAGGTCATGGATGTTTATGAACCTTGGCCATGGGAGGGAGGCATTGAGCTAGGTCTCTAGGTGCCTAATGCATTAGACAGTCCCTCCCCTCTAAGAGTTCACTGTCTGGGTTGGAAGACTGACTTTTCCTCCTCCAATAGAAGGCGGAGGAAGAAAAAGACACAGAGTTCTGGGTTGTTCCAAGGAGGGAGACTCACCTAACTTAGGAACCCAGAAACGTCTTCCCAGGGCCCTGGTGGTGAGAGCTGAATTTTGAAAGGTGAGAAAGGACAGCGTTCCCGGCAGAGGACCCGGCGTGGGCAGGGGTGTAGAGAAGAAGCGGAGAATGTGTGTGGGCCGTGTAAGCAGACCCTTGCCGGGGAAGGCCCCGCAGTGCTGAGGCTTGTCCCCAGTCCTGCTCGCCTCCGTCTATCCTGTTCTTGGGCAGAGGCTTGGGTGTTGCTCAGGGGCAGGCTTTTCTAGGGACCAGGGAGTCACTCTGTGTGTGGAATCCCACCTTAGCAAATGAAACCGGCTCTCCTTCCCTGTGCCACCCCAACCCCCCCCCCCCCACCACAGTGAGCAGCAGGCAGCCTCGAGGAAACACCACCTCAAAACTCTGCTCCTTGAAGAACCGAGCAGTCCCTGCCTGGTCCTGGTCCTTCTTTCCCTGCCTCCCTCTTTGTGTGCGTCCTCTTTTCTGGCTCACTCACCGGCGGCCCACCCTTCTCTTTTCTAGCTTAGGTGCTCGACTCTCAGGGTGCCTTAAAGTGAATCCAGGCGCAGGGCTGGGGCGGGGGGCAGGGGTGGTGTAAGGTCAGGGGTGCAGAGAGCCGGATATGGGGGGAGGCAAGGCGAACCTTACCACGGCAGGACTGTGTCCTTGAGCCTTTGTGGGGCTTTGGGGATCCTCCCTGTGTGCCAGGTAGTTAAACCCCTATAGCTTTGTCTCTGATGAATTTAGCGGTATAGATACCGATGAGAGCAAGCGCCTCTGCGGCCATCCCTGCCCTCCGAGAGCCGACCCCGCTCACCTACCCCACCAGCACAGGGCTGCTTGGGGTCCTCTGCTTAGGGTTATGGAGCACACACATGCAGCACACAGTTTTGCAATGCCAACTCCATGCGTACTACTGTCACAGCCAGATGGCTCTAGGCGGAGGGGGCAGGGAATGCTCCAGTGTCCGGTCCACCCAGGAGCCGACCGGTCAGTGGAATCAGTGGGTTTCAGGGTTGTCAGAGGTCACCTAAGTCAACTCCCTTATTTGACACTCAGGGAAACAGAGAGCAGGAGTAAGGTGCCCCACGCCACATAGTTGACAACGGAGAAAGGACTGGAAGCCGAGCCTCCTGACTTGCTGGCCAGCACCATCCCTGTTCAGGGGCTAACCCCAACTCTCCAAGTGTCCTTAGCGCTCCTTTCTGCCGGATGAGGTCAGGGGATGGGAGGCCAGCCCTCGGCCTGGCAGGGAGGAAGCACAGGGGGAGGCTGAGAAGGGGTGAGGTGTGGAGGCAGTCGTTTCTTCCTTAGCGAGGTGGAGGGCTTCCTTTGGCCCACGTGACTGCAGAGGCACAAGTCACTGACCTTGGTGAGAGCGATTATGTGGGCCTAGACCACCCTGTTCCACTGTCAACCACGGGGGGCCCCGGGTCAGTCTTCTGGTAAGCCTCCAGGTAGGCAGGGGCGTGAGCCCCAGAAGGCAACAGGTCTCAAGACCCAGCACTTAGTTCCTAGAGAACATTTGCCAGCAGGACTGTAATGGGCTCCGTGGGGCGGGGCTTGGGTGCGCCACTCACTTCCCGGGCAGGCACGTCTCAGCAGGAGGGGCTGCACGTCCCAGGGACGGAGTGAGTGTCTTTAACCTCTGTGAACCCTCTCTGGTCACCGGCCCCCGGCACTGCCCTCCCGCAATGCTCCCGCGTCTCGTGCACCTGCTCTGCCGGTGTCAGTCCTGATCTATTCTGCGGACCGCTCGACCATCGGTGTCCCTGCTTCTAACGTCCCCGCACCCCATGTGACACAGAGATGAGTTGAGTCAAGGTCCCAGGGGGCCCCAGGTGTGCAGCTCGAGGCCCTGCAGGGAGGAGGTCCTGGCTGAGGATACACGAGGCACCGAAGCACGTGAGGGTCAAACCTCAGTGGACGGCCACGCACCGGGGAGGGCAGGGTGGCCCCCGGCCGGTTGTTTCTTTTTGTCTCCGACCACCGGGCAGCTTGCAGTGAAATGTGTGGAGGACCTTCCCCTGCCCATCCAGGGCTCTCCTGCCAACTTATTTCTCCTTGACGCTGACTTTTAAACTTGCCCTAACACATATTTCTAGGCTATTCTCTATGTTCTAGTGAAGGGGATCCCTGTGGTATCATCGGGGCGGGGGGGGGGGGGGTGTAATAAGGAAGTGAACACCAGGATGGACATAAAGTTCGAGGGTTTTCCCTGGGGACAGTTACCCCGAGTACTCAGCTCACACAGAAGCTCAGGTTCTGGAGCCTTCCAGTTAATGTTTGACTCTAGCCTGAGGCCATCAGTGGGGTCGGACTGCTCCAACGAGAGCCTGAAAGGGAGTGGGTCTGCAGGAACCAGGTTATACTGATTCCTCAGGACCTCAGTCCGGCCAGGGTGGGAGGAAGTAAAAGGAGCGGGTGAGGTGGCCACTCTCTCCGGGAGTGGAGGATGTGGGCAGGGCAGCGTTCTGACTTTCAGGGCCCGTAGTCCCTTTTATGGCCACAATTACATTTTATGACTGCTCTGGCGGAAAGATGAATATAACCCTGGCTGGATTCATTATTAGACATTCTTTTTTCCCCCCTGAATTGAAAAGAAATGAAAAGGCAAATATTTTCTTAGCTCCTGAAAGTTCCGTGGGGCCGGGCTCGCGGCATTGTGCGTGAAGAAGGCGGCCCTGGCTGGGGCTGATAACATCCCGGACTCAGGATCCCTCGGGAAGGGCCACATCCTGGAAGTCTCCCACCACAGGAATAACGACAGTGCCGGCGGGCGGCGTGGGCCTCTGCCCCGTGGGGAGGGGACAGGCGACCGGTCAGTGACCATGGAGGTCAGCTCCAGGTCTACTTTTCAGTAGCTTCGTTTGCTTTTCAAACGAAGAAGCTGAGATGCAGAGAAGGAAGTGGATTCCCAAAACACATGAGTGGCCGTCTAGAGTAAGAATGTTGATATGGTTGGTCCCCTGGGTCGGGGCAGCCGGTGGTCCCCTTACCACAATGTGGCAAGGGTCCCACGAACATGAAGCCCCCTAACGTAGCGTTAGTGTGACTGTGCCTACAGCAGCGTGTTATTTTCAAGCCCCGAGGAAGCACCAATGTACGTTGTAAAACATCGAACAGTAAACCTGTGTGCCACACGTAGGGGGTACTTAAGGCAGGTTCCCTGAGACCTCTCCTAAGCCGTGTGCTGTGAACAGAACTCTGTAACCCTCTATTTATTAACAAATAAACACAACTTCGGAGTGCCAGTCTGGCCTAGATTTGTGAGTGTTTTCTGAATGTTCTTTGTCGGAGTGCAATGGCCACGAGGCAAGCTTTCCAGCTGCTAGTGGTGCGTGGGCCTCGCAAATCTGTGTCAAACGAACGGCCACCAACAGCGGTAGCTGTGACTAGTGACTGTCGCTCAAAAGGAAGAAAAACACGAAATAATCAAAAACAAAAACAAAAAACAACAACAACAAAAAACCCCCAAGAAACCAAAAGCAGTAACAAATAGCCCTTTGGAGCCCTGGGGATCCTAGAGGGTTTCAGCACAAGTGAATCTGAGATGTTCACATGGCTCTAGAAAGAACTTGGGATATCTTACAATAGACGTTGCTTCAGAGTCCCCTCCCTCCCTCTGTTGGACCTCACAGTTTCATACAGTTGCTGTCTACTTCTGAGGACCCCTGCTTCGGAACTTGCTGCTCTCACAAGAAAGAACATATTTAATTTAATGATTGATCAGGATCAGGAATTGCCACGTTTAACTTTTTTTAATAATGAAAATCCGTAAGAGCTTAAAATATTCTTGGCAAAAACACCACCGATGTCCACATCCCCGTGAGTCCACACGTAAGCTAGCCAGCACCTTAGTGTTGGCCGGCCCCCTTCGGCACCAGAACACTATAATTTATTAAGCTTCAATACTTAATAAGTGTGCACAAATATCATGCAAACATATGCCCGTACTCACAAACAAAAAGTGTATTAGAGTCGTAGACGTATACAAAACATCTTGTAAACAAAAGGAAAGAGGTTGGCATTTTCTGTACAAAATATGCAAGGTTTTCTTTTTCTTTCTTTTTTTTTTTAATAATAATCTGTAAGATGCATCATACTTCCGGCATTTTCAAAAAGTGAAAACTGTATAAAAATAAATACTCTATGTACAAACACACACACAGGCCAATCCCAGGTTAGAGGCATCACTGCAAAACAAAAACACACAAAACAACGTAGAGTTAGTGTCAGTGGGTCTGCGGGCGTCTACTTCCCTGGTGGGGAAGGAGTGTGCTCTCTGGAGGGTTGAGGGGGCAGCTCTGGAACAGGGCCCCGCGACCCCCTGGGCGGAAGACCCCAGAGCTGTCTGCACCCCGAAGGAAGGCAGAGGCAGGAAATCACTTTCGCCTTCCTGTCACCCCCTTCCTGGCCACTAGAGGGCACTTGCTCTCTATGTGGCCTTTGGGGGCTTGGCTCTTGATGAATTACCGCATCAACCTGGACTGAATTTCTGGTGTGGACCAACAGACAGGAGGCTTTCTAGTTACTTCCCCAAGACACCGTAGCTCTGGACAGTGGCTGTTCTCCCCCTGCCAACCTCAACCACCGCCATCTCCTACCCATCAGAGGCAACTTTGAAGAAGGAAATCTTGGAAACACGTCATTTGACACGTCTCTTCCCTCTGCCTGTGGAGTTTTAACTAGGTCTCAAGGGACACACCAAAGGGACGAGGCATGGCTGGAGAGACGGATTCTCGGGGGGGCATCTCCCTCGAAGCTGAGCTTTTCCCTTCTCTGCTCAGGGATGCTTTGCGTACATGTACTTCACCTTGGGCCTGGTGTCTTGGTGGTTTCACTACCTTTAACTCAATCCCGTGAGCTAAGGAGATTCCGGGCATTTAGCACAGAGGAACCCTTCATCTCATTGTTAAGCGGGCCACTACTGTCCCTGAGACAGGGCTGGGTTAGCTACGCACAAACTCTTGGATACGTTGGGTTCTCCTTTTAGAAGGACAGACCAACACCTGGAGACCGCGTAGGGAGGGCTGTGAGAAGTCTCGGTGGGAGCCAGGTGGAGGGTGGCTGCCGAGGGAGGGTGGGCAGCATCGCGGCCGCCACCTTTGCCGAGGACCTGGGTGGGCTTCCGGATTAGTGACCTGATGGCTGTCATCAAGTCAGCACAGAGGAGCCCTGTGCTTTGGGGGCCCGGACTGAGCGGGGTGATTGGGTTCAGGAGCACAGCCCTGTGGTGTTAGACGGTGTTAATGATGCCAACGCCAAGGCCAGCGTGAGCAAATGAAAGCTCGTTGCTGATGGGAATTCTGGGAGCCCAGGAGACGCTGGGCAGCAGGTCCCCCGTGTGCCAGCAGGAAGCTCTGGCAGCTTAAGTTTAAGGGGAAGGGTAGAGTGGTGAGCCAGTCAGTCTCTACGAGGAGGTACAGAAGCTAAGTGAGTTTGTAGTTCAAGCAACTTAGATTCCCGACATCTGTATAAACGTCATCATGTGGCTTACCTGACCTCGCGTGAACGCTGCGAGAGTAGGTGCCGATAACTAATTTTGAAACACGGTCTAGGGGCGCCCTGGGTGGCTCAGTCGGTTAAGCGTCCAACTTTTGATTTCAGCTCAGCTCACAAAGATCCCAGGGTTGTGGGATCACCCTGAGTGTGGAGACCCTCTCTCTGTCCCTTTCCCCGTTCATGCCCTCCCTTTCTCTTTGTCTCTCTCTCTCTCTAAAACACAACAAAACAAAAACAAAAACCCAAAACGAAAAACCCCAAGGTCTAGTAGTCCTCGGAGGAAAGGTGCTGTAGAAATTAACCACACGAAGCATGAAGAGATCAGCTGCGGGGCTACATGGACCCGCCGTACGCTGGGGTCCGCGGATGCCTCAAAAAACATTTTTGAAGGTTCTCTAAGTGCGTGCAGTGAATGGGATGTTTAATGGGCACCCTGCCTTTGGGATCATTCCTTTCTCGACCCATGCCTTGCGGCCTCATCTGCAGAAAGGCCCAGCGTGGAAAGTGTGCGTGCATGATGTCACTTGGGAACGGAGCCCCAAGGACCCCTGTGTCCCCCGAGGCACCGCAAACCACCGGGCGGCCTTACCTTGTTCCAACAGCCCTGGACTGGTAAGCCATCTTCGCCCTGCGGGGAGGAAGGAAGGCAGGTGGCTCAGACTCTGGGACAGCCCGGCGAGCAGGCAGGACAGGGGAGCAAGGGCCGCAAACACTGTGGCAGCTCGCCTCTTGTCTATCCCTCTCCTCTGCTTCAGGGCAGAGCCTCCGAAATGCGCGGGAGGCAAGCCGGACTTCCCACTGACTAGGGTCACACGCAGTCACCGTGCAAGGCCAAGGGGGGGGGGCTGCCCTAGCCTGTGGGGTCAGCGAGCAGCGGTGACCTGAGTGTCCTGTTAGGAACAGCCCTCAGCCGCGCAGGTCTCTGCTCTGGCTGTACTGAATGCTAGGTGCTCACAGCTCAGTCATTCAGCGCTTGGAGGCCTGTTTCATCCTCTGTGAAACCTGGGGAAGGTGCGGTTGTATGAGGTGATCACTAAGGTGTCCCCAGCTCTCCTATGATCTTAGTTTCCTCCCTTCCTGAGAGGCAGGAGGAAGAGATCTAGGCGGTTCCCATCTGTTAATCAATAAGGAGGAGGGCGGGGTGCAGAGGCAAGCAACCTCACGGGAATCGCAACATGGTCTCGAGGTGCCTTCAGCAGGGTGATGCTGTCCTCGGGCTCAGCCTCAGCCATTACTGGGAATTTGGGGCCGGGGGCGGAGATGAAGTGGAGGATGGGGATCAACCGTGCCCCGTCTGTCCCCTTTGCCGGTGGCACCCACAGAGCACCTGTAGCCCCCGGACGTCCTAAGGCTTCTCGGGCCCTGATATCCTGGCCCCCGCTGGCATACCCTGGGGGGATCTGGAAACTGTGAGACAAGGTGGGAGTGTGAGGCTGAACCGGGGCCTAGATCTGGTCTAGAATTGCAGCCCAGATCCTAGAATTCCACGCTCCAGGGCACAAAAGGATGGACGCGGGGTTTCAGATGACTGGAGCAAGCCGTTAGCCCAGAGGTGGTTGAATGGGAGCCCTCTGTGCCGCAGATCGATTTCATCCACCACGACAGGTGCCTAAACCTCTGGCCTGGCAGGTAGCAGGCAGCCGGCCCGCCGCGGAGGGCAGAAGAAGCCTACTTATCTCAAACTGAGATAGCTCCCCCTGCCCCCATGTCCACAACGACACAGGGCAGGGGACGGGAAAAGAGCCACGACGAGAAACAAGAAAGGGAAGATATGTACACTTCCCCAGCGAGATTCGTAGACAAAGGACACATCGGTATGGGATGTTGTTGCAGAAAATGCCGCTTTGCATTAAGGACCAAACAAAGATGACCTTCATTGTCCCCTCTGGGTCAGGGAGGGTCTGCAGGGGGAGGTGGGGCATTCCAGGGCTTCATGGAGACCTGCCCCCTTCCCCAGCCCGCCGTGGTGCGACACTTCACATGGACTCTGGAAGGGAGAGGAGCCTCCGCGGGGCCACGGCGGCATTCCCATTGGCACGTGATGGTGGCAGGGCGACAGAGGAGAGTGGGGCAGGCGGAGGGAGTGTGTGAGAGAGGAGCAGGGTGGCGGGGGCCAGCGGAACTCAAGGTACTCAGGCCACGGAAGGCACGTGGCCGAGAGGAGACCTGGCCGGTGATTAGTGGAGGTGCTCTGGGGGGACCGGGGGTCCTATGGCTGCGTGCTCGGGGGTCATCAGGCCAGGCGGTGGGGAGGTGGGGGCAGTGAGCAGGGGCTTCAGCAGAGGGGTGGGGGGAAGGGGGAGCATGCTACCCTGCAGTCTTCTTTTGTTGTCTATACTGGTCCTAAAAAGTCCCTTCACGGGGCTCTGTGGTCACTTCTCAGGGGCACACAGCGTATTTTCCTACAACTTTTTCTCTTCTCTTCAGAGATAATTCTCGTGTGACCCCGGGGTGAGACGTGGGACCTGGAGTCCTCATCTCTTACTTGTATGAAAATAGTTACGTGCACTCTAGACCTCCTGGGGAAGTTTAGAAGAGCGGGAACCTTCTAAGCCAATTGCCTTGGAGTGAGGTGCCGTCCATTTCTCCCTTGCAGCGAGGTGAAAGGGTGGCTATGGGGCTAGAACGTCCCTGCCCGACAGACCCTGAGCCAGGTGTGAGCAGCACTGTGGCCACTCGGCCAGCACATGCGTGGGGAGGGTTCCTAAGAGCCTCCCTGTCTCCCCTCTTCTCTTCCTCAACTACATTCTCGACCTTTCCATTCTCTTCCAGACTTGCCGGTGGTGGGTCATCTGCAGATGAAAGGGAGGGAAGCCAAGCGAGGGTCTTGTAGTGTCTCCCCGGGTTGAAGCAAAAAGGATGAATCGTTTAGTATCTAAAATCCTGACCTTGGACCATCCTTTAGTTCTGGTGGTAGCACCGGGGTAACGACCCCAGAGGCAGCCTGGAAGAACGGGCAGAGTGGCCCCCTCTTCTACCTCAGTTCTAGAACTTCTCAGTCTACCCACGTTTATGAGCATGCCCGTCTGTCCCCGGCCACATCACAAGATGGCGGAACGGGAAGGTGTGTGGGACTGGCTCAGGCATCTCATTCAAATGTTCCGCCTGGGGCTCAGCTGATGCTTGCTGAACCAACCGCAGTGTGTGAAGGAAGAGAAGTCACAGTTGCCAAGAACCTGTCCAGAGGATCTCACCTTCCTGACTTTCTGGGGGCAGGTTTGGCTAGAAGCCCCTAGGAAGGGAGGGTTGGATGCGGGATGGCTCACATTAAGGGGATGTGCTTTTGCAGCAGCTGGAGGAAGAAGCCGAGAAAACATCTGGCAAGCTTTGCGTGCTCCAGGGGGCATGCTTGGAGGCCCTGAGGACCAGCCAGGGCAGGGTGACCCTTGGCGTCTACAGAGAGAAGGAGCAGGAAGTGGAGACTGAGTGGATGGGGCAGGAGGCGTGAGGAGGGCGGCTGGAGAGGCATGCGGGCAAGAACCACACACGTGGGGAAGCCTGAGTCGGCCATGCAGGCGAGGGAGGGTGATGCCATACCAATGGGCACGGGGCATCCAGTCCGTCCAGCCCTGGTAACCCCGGCTCCCCTTTCTCTCCTTTAAAACCTCGGTGTCCCTGTTCACAAAACCAACCACGATGATTATTTAGGTTGAGGCCGGCCAGCTCCGACTGTGGAGTGGAGAGGCCCAAGTCTTACCCCAGCCAGGATGCAGGGCCTTGAGGCATCTACGAGCAGGGCCCAAATCCCCGTTGATCCTCCTGTCCCAGATTCAACCTCTGCGCTCTCTTTGGCTGCCACAAGAGCTGAGCCGTGGCACATGTACGACCAGCCCCCTCCCCATTTAAAGACTGAATTGGAAACAGCGCAGATGAACTTCAAAGGTAGCGTAGCATCATTTTCAGAGCCATGGATTGTGAAGGCACTTGAGAAGCCCGGCTGATGTGCCACAAATCAGCCCTCAGAAGCCTGTCTGGGGGTGCTTCCCTACTGGTTTTAGCTGGATGGCTAGTGGGCATCGGGAGGCTGTATATTAAGAGCCCCCTTTCTCCAGCCTTGTTCTACCCAGTCTGGGGTATAGATGGCCCCCGGTGGACATGAACCCGGGCGGTCTCCTGCATCCTGACAGAGGATCCCAAAACAGCTTGAACTGCTGGCCACAGAGGGGGCCGTGAAACGAAGAAGGCAAACGAGGGGCTCACAAACGCTACAGCGGCTTCCAAAGCCATGCTGGAGCTCGTGGCCAAGGCCTGCTCCCCAAATCCCTTTCCTCGGGAGCGGGTTCTCATTTGCACACGTCCACTGTTCTACAGCTTTGAAGGAAAGGGGTTCAACCAGAATGACTGCAGCTGTGGCTTGAAGGCAACACCAACAGCAGGCAGAGTTTCCCTGGCCGAGTGAGCGGATATTTGCCTTCTTGGTTTCAAACTTGGCAAACCTCAAGGAACACACCAGAACAATGCAAGTGATAAATGAAGACATACCAACGGGCAGGGGGCGTCTAATCCAGGCGCTCCTTGGTCTCCCTTATCCCCTTTAGGCCCTCTAGAGCCTTTCTTCCCCCTCTCCCCCTGTAAATAATGGTTTAGTCCGAGAGAAAAAAATAACATCAAAACTTTAGGATCATTCCCGTGTTAAGGTTAGAAACAGAAAAAGAAAAAAAGAAAAATCAAAGAGGGAAAATACCGTCTCTTAATTAGGATCTTCTTCCCAGTAGGATTTGAGGCCAGCACCCATCCTTACTCCTCTAGAAACTGGAGACTTTGGTTCAGGCAGGTGGGCAGGGGGCAGGGGAGGAAACTGAGGCCCGGGGACAGGGAGCCGCGGGGCTCAAAGCTGGAGGTGGAGGGAAGTGTCGATGGAATCTATCTGTGGCCAGCGTTGCTAACACCGAGCCCAGAGCGGTCTGTGATGAACAGAGGACCCACTTCCTTCTCTTCGAGGGTCCATTTTTGAAAGGCTTTGACATGGCAACTTTTGTCCCAATTGGTTTTCATCCCTTTGATATTCTATTAGGAGGCAAGATGATTTTATCCAGAACCCTGGGGTATGTGTGTGTGTTTGTGTGTGTGTGTGCACATGCGTGTGTGTGAGCATGTGAAGATGTGCTTGGGCATGCGTGTACAAGTGTGTGCATGTACGACTGTGTGCTTGCACACGAGCGTACAAGCGTCCATGTGTACGTGTGTGTCCAGGGCTCATGGTGGCTCCTGGTTCTGTGAGGTCCTCTCATTGTACGTGCGTCTCTGGCCCGTCCTGGTCCGGATCATAGGCAGCTATTTGTATATTTGTATATTGACAGGTTGGTTCAAGGAGCTCATTTGTTTCTGCAAAACTTCCCTAAGCATCCTCTTTCTAAATTGAACCCCACTTTGTATGCGTCAAGATCACTCTCCATTTAAAAAGGGGCAATGGGGAGTTCTTTAATGACTTTGAGTTTGGATTTTCACATGTTGGGTTTCCTGACAAAGGGGCCGAGTGTGCCCGTGGGGAGCCTTCTTGGGAACAGGTCTCCTCAGCCGCAGAAGGCCGATGGCGTAATGCCTGGGGGCTTCCACTGTGCTCCCCGAGGTGGATAAGACCTTGAAGGCGGGCAGCGCGGGATCAGAGCAAAGGCTTGGAGCCAGAGCGCGTTCTGCTTATTACTAGCAACGTGTCTTGGGGAAGTTACTCAACCTCTCTGAGCCTGTAGAACATGGATAATATGACCTGCTTCAAAACTTTGGTGTGATGTCTTTGTGCACGGTAAGTGCTTAATACTGACACATGGCACGTGCTCAGCCGGTGAGAGTTGCCGCACAATGATGCCAATGGCAATTGTTACTTCTTGTTGGCCAGTATTGGAGCCGAGGCTCCGGACACCATCCTGTCACGTCTACTGTGTTCCTGCAGTGGAGGGCTGCAAGGTTCCTCGGAGGGAGGCAAAGGACGAGAATAGTTTTTATGTTTCCCCGAATCTTTGGGAAGTCCGCCCATTTCTTGATTCCAGGGGTTCCCTGTGATGGCCAGTGCACTGGTCTGAGTGAGTTTTCTGAAGTGCAAATACTCACTTGGAAAACGCTGTGTTTAGGAGGGAACGTGTATATGCGCGTTAGGTGTGACTGTGTTGGCCCTGAGCTATGCCCACCAGTGAGAACATGATGGCGTGAACTGTCCCCGAGCAGTGGACAAGCAAAACCACCGGCTGCTTGGATGGGAAGCCCACGGTCAACTTTCTCAGCAATGTGGTCCCTTATTCACCTTGGGTCAGGTCAGTGTAAAAGTAAACACAGCTTCCCATGTTCAGAGGGTGGGCAAAGCTCCTGAGGGGTTGGCGGGGGTGGGGTTCCAGGTCCCTGATGACTCGCCTCTGGGCAACAGAGGGTCGGCGGTGGTCCTGACTTTCCAGGTGGGCAGCTTGCACCACGGGCGCCATGTTCTAAGGGCCCAGGAAATGGCTTTACGGTGGAGGCCCTCTGGAGATAGTAGAGTGCTAGCTTTACCTACATTCCCCCTGCCTCCCACCCCCAAAGAGTGACAAAAAGAGGCCCTGGCAAAGAGGGGGTTCTAGATGGGGAAAGGGCAAGTTAAAGTCGAGGAGCAGAGGTTTCTGTAAAATACAGGGATGCATGAATTGACCTGAGAAGAAATAAATTGCAGCTGGGAGAGTGGAAAGAAAAGGATGAGGGGTATGGGGTTACGGTAATGGGGTGAACATGTTGGGCGGGGGGAGAGATACTGAAGGAGTGAAGGAAGGAAGTGTCCAGCCCGGGCCAAAAGAGATAATGGAGGAAGGAGAGGTAAGGAGGCAAGGGGACCTGGGGGAGCAGGCCGCTCGCACGCACAAGCACATGCACACCCAGACGGCGCGTCTCGCAGTGACCGCTGCCTCCCCGCGTGCACGCAGACCTTCCGGCTGGCTGGCTGGCAGGCAGTCCCACCGCGGCACCCAATTTTCCTGACGCCAGATTGCCAAATCCGTGCCACCGTTTATCTTGTGACCGCCTTTTTCATCCTAAACGTGGCTCCTGGGCCCAGTGCACGAGGCCGTTAAAGGCCGAGAAGAGTACCGTCTCTTGCGACAAGGCCAGAACATTCTTTCCATTGCCCTTCGTGTCCCCCTTAGGAAAGTGCCTGTTTGGGGCTCTGGGCCTTGCCGGCTACTGCGAGGACCTTCTTCCTTCCACGAACAGGAAAGAGGCTTCAAGGCCGTTGCTTGGTGGGACACAGGCAAGCCTAGTTTTAAGATGGCGCCTTGGTTCACCGTAAGTCAGAGCAACAGGCTTGCGGTGCAGCGACCGGGGGCCTCTCGGAGGCCCAGGCATGACGTGTGGCGAAGTCTGAGAGCTACCTCAGGTAGCCACCCTCTTCTACGGGGGTGGGGGGGGGCGGGGCTTGGAACACCTGCAGCTTCACCTTCATGAGCAACAGTGGGGCTTCTAACTAGAATGTCATCTAAGCCCCTCTGGGCTTTTCCCTTGACCGAAGTGTCAATACTCTGAGCTTCAAGCCTAAGGGGAAAAAACTGTCCATGGCAAAGCATTGACTGTGCTTGGAACTTCCTTTGTTTTGAAGGTTTTATCACCAAGCCTCTACATCTCTCCCCAAAGGTCCATTAGGGTCTGGGGTAGAAAGAGGTCTGTCTGAGGAGGTGAGATGTAGGGGGAGCTCTTCCAGCACATTCTGGCATCCCGAGAGTCAGGTCTCTTGAATAGAGGACACAAGCTGTTCCTTGATTCAGAGACCCGCTCTTCGGAATAAGTCAGTTGTCCTGTACAGTATGCTCGAAAGCGGGTTTGTGCAACTTGACCGTTTGCCGGACTTGACTTTTACTAAGTGGCATATTGCTAATGTACGGGCGGGGCAGGGGAAAGTGTGTAAAACTTTTAGCTAGGAAGGAGTCGTGGAGAAGAAATATTCTCCCGTGGATTCCTGGGACCTCACTGGCGCATTCAGCAACCCCAGTCCCTGACATCAGCACCTCCAGCCTCCTGCCACCCCTCCAGCTGGGACAAGGGCATCTTTCTGCCTGTCTCCACGTCTAGGGCAACACGATCACTGCCACCGGAGGACTGGCTTTGCGGCCTCCAAATGGCTCACTGCCTCAAGCCAACTGGAAAAGTCTTAAGAAATCGTTCAAAAAGTATTAATTGAGCATGGCAAAGACAACCAGAGCACTGTAGAAATAAATTAGAAAGGGAATTAGTGTGCCAGCTAAGAGGTGGAATGATCAATTTTTTTTTTTGGTGGTCGCAGTCAGGAAGGTGGGCTTCCACAGCCTGCCTGAACAGCCAGCACATTTCCGGAAGTAGGTCCGTTTCTTCCAGTGATTTCTAGACTTGGTTTTCCGCGGACAGTTTGGTAGGGGTCCCTCTGCCTGATTCCTCTTACTTATAGAGGCCACAGAACAAATTGAGGTGCTCTTGACCCGCTGCCAGAAAGGACAATTTAGGGATAGAAGGAGTTCAGTAAACACACCTTGAGTTGAAACGACAGGATATAAGGTATGAGCATACAGATTCTGGCACTTTCTAGCCGCGAACACGGTTATCAGCGCTCGAAGATCAGCCAGAAGACCAGCGTTTGAAAGCGATCTGCTGTGCCTCTGTCTGCGTGAGCTCAGTCTATGTTGTTGTGATTCTGGCCTGTTCTCCATCCGTTCCCCCGCTCATTCTCGTCTACCTCTAAGACCCTTGGATATTATGACCCACTAGAAGATGCGCTTGGGCCTCTGAGAGCTGTGTGCCACACTCTGAGAACCACTGGGAGGGAACAGCAGACAAGACGCTCTATGAAGGGACCCGGTGGCCATCTCTCGGTCGGATGTAGTGCAGTGGTCCCTGCTGGGCCCAGAGGCGTCTTGTGTCATCCACCGTGTACCACCATATGGCCATGGGTGCTGTGGACATTCAGCAATTGTGGCCTGCTGGTGACGGCAGGAACCAAAGGGACAGCAAAGGACCTCGGGAGGTGCAATTCATTTCATGGTCCTGCTGACTTTTTCCAAGAGAAATAATGGCTGTGATGATGTTTTAAAGGGTTGGCTGCTTACAACAGCTGTCTGCTTGTGCTTGGAACTGGAATTTATTTCTTTCTCACCAGTGGCCTGGGACGCCTGGCGAAACTAAGTTTCAGAAAATACCATTTAGGGGTCCGCTATCAGGGCACCCTAGGGAGAGCTGGGCACGTGACTCCCGTTGCTGGATGGCAATGCTAATCTGATGGCCACCCTGGGATTCAGTCTCCCCTTGTCTTGTGGAAAAAATCCATGCTTCTATTTCAGGATTAGGCCTCAGGCTGCCTGCGTGCTACACAGTGAGCCCCTCACTATAAAGCCTTTTAATTCAGGATGATTTGCCAGGAAAAACTGTATCTGCCCATGTTGGGTCAGGAATCCCCAATTGATCATTCCACCACATCATGAAGACATTAGTAAGCAGAGCCAGAGTGCAAAGGCTCAGACTCACCCGGTTTCCTTTGTCCCCGGGTGGTCCATGTAAACCCTGTAATAAATCGCACAAATGAAGACGCGTTAATGAGAAAAGGCAGGATGGCCATCCTGTCCTTCCTTCCAGGATCATAAAGGTCTTCACTGATGTCTGATTCATCAGAGACAGGCTTAATTATCCCCATTTTACAGAAGGGGGACAAAGGGGCTTGACCTAGAGACAAATAATGAGTGATGGGCAAAGCCAAGAACACGGTCCTGGTTTTCTCTCGCTGCAGCCGAGCCCCGGGCCGGTGGCTCTATTCTTCTAGCTCACTCGTGCTAATGAGTGCCAGGTGCTGAGGACACGGCCTGGACACAGAGAACTCTCCTGGCAGAAGAGGTGTTTGCATGGCTCTCCCGCCAGGCTCTTGCTAGAGAAATGACCCCAAAGCTGCTCATACCCTCTTTTCAAGGCACAGGCTGTTCTCCATTGTCTTGAGCTAGGGGAACGGCACAAGGCAAGGACCGGCCAGGGTTAGCCTGAGCAAAGCTGCCTGGGCATGGAACTGGTGAACAGATGTACCACCTCCCACCTTCCAGTGGGTGGGAAACAAAGGTCCTGGCTCTCTTGGGCGACCAACTTTTAGAACAACCCAACGGGAAAATCTGCCGTAATTGGGAAGGCTGTCTCTTGGGAGAGCCGCCCCTCTCATGAAACCTCTCCCTCTGGCATTACGATGTTGTGGATTTGATTCTGCCCCTCCTCGACGGCAGGGGCCGCTGACACATTCGTCTGTGAGGCCCCCACTGCACGGAACACAGAGGCTTGCAGCGGGAGGGGCTCGTATGCGTTTGCCTCATGCCTGAGGACCTGAGGCCCCACAGGGGCCACGCGTCCCAAGCACTGCCTCGAGCAGTGCCCGGCAGGGAAGTTCCACGGCCAGTTGGCTGTTGGCAGCCTCCTCTGTCACAGAAATCAGCGTTCTGGCTTAGCTCTGGATGTCTGCTCCGGGCTCTGGGTTTTCTGTTGTGACGATGGCTCTGTTGGGGGTAGGGAGAGGCGGAGAGAAACTTCCCGTCCCGCGACACTTACAGGAAGCCCAGCCGCTCCTGATGGTCCTGTCATCCCAAGGTCGCCTTTGCTGCCCTGAAACAGGAGAGAGAAACCCATGAGCCCTCCCTGACGGGGCAACAACCTTCCATCAACCGTTTTCTGTTTTTGTGTGAAACCCAGGAAACCTCTCCAGTCCCCTCAAAGAGCCGTCACTGCAAAGCAAGGGCTGAGCGGAGGGCTTGACTGGTGTGGACTGTGCCTCGGCACCTCCCTCCCTCCAGCAGAGCCCATCCCCCGAGGCCCTCTGGAAAGACCGGACACTGTCCTGAAGGTAGTTGCTGGCCCTCAAGCAGAAGCCGGGGAGGGGAACAAGACGCAGGACATGAGCATGGACAGCGAAGGTGTGGAAGAGGCAAAGAGCTTTGATTTCTTCTTTGAAGCCACAACTGTCCCCTCTGAGAGCAGCCATCCCGGTTCCCAAAGTGGCTGTGATCTCAGGGAAGCCTGTGACCTAGGGAGGAGGTCTAGTGTCCCAGCGGCTCTCCGGTGACCCGCCCCACGCGGGCCTGGTTGGGGAAGAGCTGACGGACGGGACGGGCAGCCCTCCTCGTCCCCTGAGCCGAGCCCCCCACCGGCACCGCACATGCCCACTCCCCTGGCTGCGGCTGGGAGACGTGACTGTGGGAGCTGGCCTAACGCCCGTCTTCCTGACTGCCAGGATTTTCTTATGCCACCTGGCACTCCGTTCTATGCTGTCTTCCTCAATCATACAGGGTTTAGGTGTGTCTGGTCCCAGCAGCACCGGGGACCTTGCCAGACTGAGCCTGTGACTAATGCCAGGTGACTAGGAGCCTAGCACGGGAAGCTGTCCGTCTGTCCGCTCACAGCTATAAAGTGAGCAACCCAGGCCGGCCGGCTCCCCCACGGGCTGCTGTGAAGGTCACTGGGAGAGGACAAGGAGGTACCGGCTGCTCCGGGAGGAATGGGTGGGGGCTAAGGACCCGCGGCTGAGCCCGGGCTGGGGCGCTGGCCCCCTCCTGGTGTTCACACTCGCTGCCCCTGGTGTGCAGACCACCCCCCTGGTGTGCAGGGTTCCCGAGCGCTCACCCTCTCGCCCTTTGGTCCCGCTGGGCCTGGAACTCCGACTGGTCCTGGAGTACCCTGGGGAGGCGAAAGAAAGCAGACGTGAGGGGGCCGGTGCCAGGGGGAGCCCCGGGAGCCCCGCCCGGCGCTGGAGATGAGCAAGGTCCAGAGGCCCATTTTCAGGGTTGGCGAGGCCAGGCTCGTTCAGGGCAGTCATTCGACTGGGGCGGGTTCCTGTTTGGGTGGGGGGCCTCGGGGAGAGAGGCGTCCCCCTGCCTCAGAGCCAGATTTGAGGGGGGAAACCCTTTCGCTTCACCACCAAGCTTGCCAAGGCTGAAAACGGTAGAACTGTTGCTTAGTTTGCTCCCTGAAGCGCTTGGGAGGGGTGGGTGCCATCCCCGGGGTGGGGGCGCGGGCTGGCACCTGCTTGCCGTCGCAGCTCCACATGCAGCGGGAGGCGCTTCATGCCACAGAGACCGATGCAGACGCACACACAGAGGCAGGCGCGGGAGGGTCGTTCAGCCACCGCTTAGCCCACCCGCCCCACCGCCCCGGCCTCCCGCCTCCGGCCGGGCCTCTGCACCCGCTCCCAGGCCCCGCGGGGCAGGCTGCACCGGACAGTGAAGCAGTGTGCCTCGGACGGGTGCCAGCGCTGGCCTGGCCGGGAGATGTGCCCTGCTGGCTCCCGAATCGGGGCTGCCGGGGGGTGGGGGCGGGGCTGACTGTGACACAATTATCTTCGCCAGTTTCCACCCGGACTGGACGAAGTGTGCATCTCGGAGCTTTCCTGTTGCTCGGCCTCGGTGTTTAGATTTCCTGCTCGGACAAGGACTTGAGGACGAGGGGCTGGCCTGTGCGCGGCTTTCTGGGGCACGAGCCATTGGGGAAACGCTGACTGACCTCACGCGGAAAAGAAAAAGCGCTAAGACGTTCTCGGTGCCCCCTTTGCAACTACGGGGGGGGAGGACTGGGCAGGTGGCACAAGGGCGCCTCAAAAATGAAGGAGCCCCGATCAGGCTCAGAACGGCACTCCGGGGTCCCTGGCCTGCTTCAAGTCAAGCCCCTCAGGCCTTTCAGCTCTGCGATATTGGAGACGTTTCTCGGGCTCTCTGAGGGTCCATTTTCTTCCCTGTGAAATGGGGATGATGATACGAGTATCTGCTTTTGAGGCCCCTGCCCGTTAAAACGGTTGAATGTATGTCACGCATTCGGCACCAATAAATGTCAGTATTGGCTGGGCAGGGTTATTTGCCCCATAAAACTTTTCCTTTAAGGTTGTGATATTGATTTAATGAGGGAAAATAAAACCTGGGGCCCAAAGGGGACAGCATCTCTGAATTGGCACTGCTCCCCCGTCCGTCCAGGAAGAACGGGGCGCGTTGTGAGGACGGTTTTGCTTTCTCTGATTCCAGCCACAGATCATCCCCCTCGCCTGACGGGCCACCTGGGGAAGGTGCGCTAGGCATGAGGAGGATGAAAAGGGAGGGACTGGGGAGGAGCGAAGCCGGAATGATGCCTGGAAAAGAGGTCTAGTCTCCGTATGGGAGCAGGTATAGTGTCGCCTCCGTAACCGCATGGTGGAGAGGGGCTCTGGAAGGGCCGTGGTCTCGGCTGAGCCACGTCACCGCCTCCGCTTGGTGAGGACACGTGCACTAGGACGAGGCTCTGCGGCTCCTTCTCGAAGCTCTGGGCTCCCACTGCACCAGCTGTGAGGTCCACCTCCAGGGCCCCGAGAAGGCCCACTGTACATCGGCCTGTACCCCAAGTGGATATCCTGCACCTCCACAAATGTAAGCCTGCAAACTCGCTTTCCCCTGAGGGCCATTCCAGCCAGCTCATTAGAACCTCGACTTCTAGGCAGACCATGCAGCCGTGGCCTCACAAGTGTCCCGCAAAGGCAGGGTGGGGACTCCCTGGCTGGAAGGGGCCGGGCGTACCCACAGCTCTGGTGACGGCTCCCGGGCAGGGAAGTTCAGCCTCCTGGCCCTCGGTGGTCAGTGATCCCTATACCCTGGGAAGGTGACAGGCTTCAGTGGGAAAGCCACTTCCCTAAAGACCTCCCGGGGTGCTCTGGGAGGGGCCTGGCAGGTGGAGAGGAGAGGAGAGACTCTTTTTCTGATGCTTCAGCTGTTTGTCACGAGAAGAAGGGCCAGGCGCTTTCTAGTCATGAGTAGTGATGCCTGTTTTCTGGAATCAGAAAAGAATGAAGAGGGGACCCGAATGTTCCTGACTTGCTCTGCATAAGCCCCCTGCTGAATCGCGGGGCCGCTGCGGCACCACAGGAAGTGGCTACAACATGCCTGCCGAACACTGAGCTGGGACCGTCCCACGTGATCCTAGATGCTACACCTGTCCTCACCCCAGGACACTCCACAGGGGCTGCACAGGACTAGGAAGCCCTTGTGGGCAGACAGGAGATGGACAGAGCTCACAGCATGAAGACAACACGGCATGACAGGCACATACAGACACTGTTGTGTTTGGTGGGCGTGAGTCAGGGTCCCGACCCCTGGGGCTGGGCTCCCAGGCCGCACTCGGCCCTCCGCGAGAAACAGAGTCTATGCCGCTGGAGCAGACTTCCACCCCGTGCCCGGCAGTCAGGAAATTCAGATTTGAGGACCCTGGGTTCACACGATGGCCGGGGGAATTCAGACGAAGGCCAATCCGTCTTTGGCCGAGAGACCCGAATAAGCGTTTCTGAACTGAGTGCAGACGGTACCTTTCTGGTGTTGGTGGCGGGATGAGGCATGACTCACGGGGAAAAACGAGGCCACAGCGGGACAGGGACAGACGAGAGGGGTCACAGGCCGGGGGTGGGGTGGGGTGGGATGACGGGTAACGGAGAAGCGACACTCACCGGTGGCCCAGGCCTGCCGTCCAAACCTGAAGCTCCCTGGACGAAGGGAACAGTTTGACCAAGAAAAGGGGAGGGGAGGAACGGGAGGGAGAAAAAGGGACCGGGGAGGGAAGAGGTGAGTGAAGCAGTGACTCTGGACAGACACAAATGCTGGCAATCAAACAAAACGGGAGAAATAGGCTTGGGAGGACAGGTAATGGTATTCACACGGAAACCAACAAAAACGGACACTGGGTGCAGTGTGGCCGACCGCTGAGCAGGCCGGTGGAGATCCGTGCAGATGGCCGTTCTGATCCTCAGCGCCCCCTGCTTCCCTCTCGCCTGTTATCCCCTCTCAGAAACCCCTCTCCCAGGGGCTTCCAGTGCCCCGGAGAAAGGGACGCAGAAAGAGAATTCGTGGGAAGGTGTCTGGAACCAGAGGTAGTGCATCCCTTCCCCAGGACCAGTCTCACCGCAGAGGGACAAGCCTGTGTGGACGGTGGGTTGTCTTCCCAGCGTCTTTGGCACAGCTGCTGAGACCAGGCCATGCTGGGGAACCCTGAGGAAATCAGTACTGAGTTGGGAACCTGGGGGAGAAGCCAGCCTGCTTCTGCTCCAGCGTTGGGGCTCGGATGTTAGCGCTAACGATGCCTGACCTTTCTCTGGCACTGCAGTTTGCAAGACTCAGCACGAACTCGATCCTTTCGTGTTGTCCCAAACAAGGGCCCTTTTATAGAAGAAGGCTTTGGGGGCCGCTGACTGCGACAAAGGTCTCAGGCCACGTACGCCCTGGAGTAAACTGGCTGGCGGGCGGGATGCTATTAAGACCATTTGCAATGCAGCATCCAGTGATATATGAGAGGGGAATAGGCTGGGAAGCTGCCCCTGAGACCCACCTAGAAAAACCAGCGGGGAATTTGTCTAATGACTCCAATGTGACAAACCACAGAGAAGGCAGTGGAGACACTCTGGCCCCGTAAGGACTGAGTTCTTAAAAACTGCTTCCAGCAGTTCAGAAATGAGCCTAGGCCAGGGTGCCTGGGTGGCTCAGTTGGTTAAGTGTCCGACTTCCGCTCAGGTCATGATCTCGTGGTCCATGAGTTCGAGCCCCGGGTAGGGCTCTGGGGTGACAGCTCAGAGGCTGGAGCCTGCTTCGGATTCTGTGTCTTCCTCTCTCTCTGCCCCTCCCCCCACTTGTGCCCTGTCTCTCTCTCTCCCTCAAAAATAAATAAACATTTAAAACATTAAAAAAAAAAAGGAAAAAGAAATGCGCCTAGGCCTCAGGATTGTACGGCGGGGCGATGCCCCCCGGCAAGGAAGGGCAGTGGAAAGGGTGCTGGGTAGTAGGGTCCTCCGGGGACTTCCTTCTCAGTATTAGAATCACAAAAGTTCCAGGATGATCTTGACTCACAGCCTAGAAAGCTGTGGTTCTCAACCCCACTGCCACATGAGAATTTCCTGGGGGAACATGTCAAATAATACAGATGCTTGGGTCCCACCCCACCCCAACTCAACCAGAGTCTCCAAGAATGAGGCTGGGAGTAATGGCATGTTTGGAAAGCTCCAGGCAACTCCAGTGTGTAGCCAGCCCTGAGAACCACTTCTGTAGGGCAAACAGGAGGAACTGAATAGGATGTCCTAGAAAAGCAGACTCCTACCATATGGCATACAATATTGCGGTGAAGCCAAAAATCAGAGCTTTCGCTAAATATCCACACACTTTGTCTATGCAGCATTAATACTGAGTTATCTTGAGAGATCTGGAGCAGTGGACACAGACTGGAGGTTTTCAGGGCATATGTGGGCCACTGACATATTTTGCACAATCTGCAGAGTTGCAAGGAATTTTGACTTCACGTTAGAAAATGGGGAGATTTTGTGTAAAATGCCAGATGTCCAGCTTCCTTTGAAAAATGAGACTATCCAGAATACTGGACCCTCATTCCCCCAAGGCAACAGTCAGCTGAACTGAGGAGGGACGGCTTTCCTTAAGAAGGGACCCATGGTCTCCAATGGGCCACAGTCCCCACTCCTCCCTATTGTCTCTCCGAAGGCCCCATCTGTTGCCAGCTGTGAATATGCTTGCTCTGTTGTTTTCCTAAGCTAGCAAAAGTATTTCCCTGTGCCCGTTTCACTATTGAAAGTTGACAGGTTGGGGGCGCCTGGGTGGCGCAGTCGGTTAAGCGTCCGACTTCAGCCAGGTCACGATCTCGCGGTCCGGGAGTTCGAGCCCCGCGTCAGGCTCTGGGCTGATGGCTCAGAGCCTGGAGCCTGTTTCCGATTCTGTGTCTCCCTCTCTCTCTGCCCCTCCCCCGTTCATGCTCTGTCTCTCTCTGTCCCAAAAATAAATAAATGTTGGGGAAAAAAAATTAAAAAAAAAAGAAAGTTGACAGGTTGAAGGTAGACTGGCACTTTGTCTTTCCTCTGGCACTTTCTTTGTTTATACAACCTGTTTGGTCTCTGTGCCGTTTGCATTGCAACCCCTGGCTCCAGTCCCCAGTGTTCACTAGGGTGTTGGGGCCGTGAAGGCGGGCAAGGAGAGATCTGTGGTTGAGCGGGGGCAGGAAGGCTCTTTAACAGTAAGGAGCATTTAACCATGCCGGACATAGCCTGAGACACAGGAAAACGTCTGTTCAAGTCATCACTTTTCTTTCAGGTACATCAGCTCTTTCCTTAAATGGTCCTACATTTGATGCGCTAATGAGCGTGGAATCATACCTTTCGCTCTTGCTGTTTGGTTGCTGTGATTACATTAATCAGACCTTCGAGCCCTGCCAAGCTGGGGTAACTGGGTTTCTCTTTGTTGGAGAACAAAGCTGTTCTTTCCGGCTTCCCGGGGTGGGAACTGGCCTTGTGCCTGGGACGGAGGAAGCCCCAGTGGCTGGAATGAGCCCCGTCTCGAGGCTGTGGCCTCAGTGAAGGAGCAGCCTCTGGCGTGGCCTGACCACTGACTTCACATATGCCATCAAGTGACGCTCTTTCTTCTCTGGGGCCATCAGTAAAATGAGGAGATGGACCGCGAATGACCATGCTAGCTCTAGAACACCAAGCCACGAAGAGTGCCAGCCCCTCTGGGGTGTGAGGGAGGATGAAGCCCAGGGCTCCAGGGAGGGCGAGGCGGTGACAAGGCCATGAGCCCCCTGGAGTTTGGGACAAAAGATTCGCCCAGGCCAGGCCCCACGTCTGGAAATGTAGATGCCTCCCAAGCGGCCCCTCGCCCTGACCTGGGATCTGATCTCAGGGCAGGCTGCGACGAGAGATCTGAAAGGCCTTAGCCTGCTGGGACCAGAGAATCTGCCTTTGTACAGGCTTTTCTGCCGTGGCCAGTGCTTAAGAGCAGAGAGTGGGGGCTCTGCTCGGGTCTCCGTAGGAAAATAAGAGAGAGACGAAGACGTTTCACTGTCTCCTTGCCCCCAGGTCCTTCACGCTGGGCTCCCAGGAAGGCAGAGCTTTACTGCCTCTGAATCAGGCACATGTAGGCCAGAGGCTGTTCTCAGGCTGTTCTGTGGCTCTCCAGCTGGGTGCTCCTTGGGGGGGGGGGGGGATGTCATATGTAGCTGTCTATTCCCCCCACACCCAGGCCAGGACCTGGCCCAGAGGGAGCCCTCGGTAAGGGAATTAGAGGCTATGACCTCGCCCGGGGTAGGAAAGCAAAACCACGCGGAGCTCAGGGATGCTCAGAGCTTGAGAACCTGCAGCAGTGTTCTCCTGGGGTCCCGTACACCACCCGGCCTCCTCAGGACCACCCAGCTGGGCTCCTCACGGTGCTGCTGGCTCTGAGATACTTACGGGTAATCCCAGCGGCCCTCGGTCTCCTTTCTCTCCCTGGACACCCTTCTCTCCTTTTGCTCCATCCAGTCCCGCTTCCCCCTGAAGGAAAGGGAGGGGGGAAGATCACAGATGGGCACGTCTCCGCCACCTCAGTCTTGCGTTCTGGGATCCTGGAGGGTGGGGTGGGTTGGGGAGATGAGAGCAGGTAGAGGATGAAGGAGGGAGGCGGTGGAGGTGGCTGGCCCAGGGATGGCAGGCTGGAGACTCCAGGAGTCCTTGAATTCCTAGCCTGACTCTCCCTCAGTTCGAGTCCTCAGTATGCCTGTGGTGACTGGGAGGTCCCCCTAAGAAAAGGGGGTGGAGTGGACACAAGCCCACAGGGCAATTCCAGGTGGGGCTTGGGCCTAAGTGACCACTTGTATAGCAGCAAAAGTGGGGCCCTCCAGACACTGGCAGGTGCCTGAAATGCCAGCATGGGAACCCCGAGGCTTGCGAACTAACTGGGACAAGAAATTGCCCAACAGTCCCCTGAAGTATACTGGGGCAGGAAGTAAGGGCCACTAGGCCATCAGCGCCCAGCCCCTCTTACCCAGTCGGAATGCTTTTGAGCGGGGAGCCTGGGAGACCTCCAGGCTAGAGACCAGTGGGTTTGGACCCGGGGAGGGGGCCCACACTACACCCCTCTCTGTCTCCCACCCAAACTTCAAGGAGAGTGAAGGATCTGGGGTGGGTCACACGGAAAGGGATTTCATCATCTGCTAAGAATCTACCCTGCCACTCACTGGGTGGATTAATGGATGGGAAAATTCTAAATCCAAAGCCTGCCCAGTGTCAATGATGGATGTGAAAAGGACTGTAGGACTTCATTCTGTCCTGATTGTAGCCACTGGCTAGAGGGCCACGCGATTCCATTTAGGGAGGGGGTCAGCTGGGCCACCTGTCTCTGAAGGACTTTCTTCCTTTGCAGCCCTCACCGGCACCCCCCCGCCCCTTCCCCTGCTCCAGCACTTGTCACATGACCTCTTCTTACCTTTGGTCCAGGAACACCTTGGAGTCCCTGCATTTGGAAGCAAAACAGGGGTGTCTCAGAACTGCATTTCTGGTTAAGTCAAAAATACCTTGTCCACAAGTTGGACCACAAAAGAGCAAGGGCCTGGGGTCCCTGCCCAGGGGAAGCAGAGGGGATGCTAAAGGGGTTTGTGCTTGGGCCTCCCTGGGGTGGGGTCTGATCCAGGCTCCCCAGCCAGGGACTGACAGTCTCTCTGTAACCCCCACAGCTGACCTAGAGTCTCACGAAGGGAAGATTTGGAAGGAACACAGCAAAAGTGGAATAAATTAACATATGCAAAGTGTTTGGAGCAGTGTTTGGCACACAAGAAGTCTCAAGAAATGTTGGCTACTCTCATCATTACTACTCTTACTTCTGCCAGTGACAGTGGGTGACACAGTGCCCTGGGGACTGTGAACCCCACAGAGGAAGGACCAGCATCTGTTGGTTGAGGATGCTTGGGGACCTTATAAAGGCCTCATCTTATCACCTGTAACCATGGAAAGGCCGATCCACTGGGGCTGGTCTTAAATCACTGTCTCTATTAATCTAGATCATTTTGCTGGCCAGATAGCAGAAAGAGGAAGCAGGAGAGCAGACGCCTGATGGCCAAGGGCAGAGCTTAGTGACAGAGGGACTCCTGCAGGGCCGTGGGACCAGACCCCAAGGCTGCCCGGCCACTCAACTATTTCCGGGAAACCCGGCAACACCCAGGTTCCTTGGTGTCACTGAGGTGGTGCCTGTTTAGCAAGGGAAGGAAAAGGAGTAGGGAGGGGTTTGCGGTTGAGAAAATCCCACCCTGGGAGGAGGCCGTGACAGTGACCTGAGGCCTCTGAGGTTGACCCCAGTGACTGCTGCGGCGAGGAGACGTCAGGGGCCCGGTTAGAGTGGACTGAAACACTGACAAGCCCTCCAAACTTACCGGAGGTCCGGGAGGCCCCTCTGGCCCTGGGGGCCCAGGAACCTAGAATCCAAAGGGAGATGGTTAGCCCACTGCCTGTTACGCTCCAAGCGGCCTCTCCTTCTGACATGGCTCAGGGTCCAGCTGGGGACTGACTGCAAAGCCAGAGGAAGACAGAACTGCCCAGCATGTTGTCTCCCAAAAGAAGGCTTAGAACAGGGCAGAAACTCACAGCAATTGATTAACCTGTACAATATTAAAAAAAAAAACAAAAAAAAAACCAAACCCAAACATTGCCAGGAAATGCTGTTGAAACGTCTAGACTTCCAGATTTTCTTGAAAAAAAAAAAGAGAGAAAGAAAGAAAAAAAAACATCTGGCAGCACTAAGACTCTTGTTCATGCATGGCAACAACTGTCTAGAGCTGAATAAGAGGTTTCCCCTCTGGGGCATGAGATCGTCCAACGACCCCAGTCCCCACCACCCCCTATTGTCTTTGACCTCGACCTTTACCTTCATTTGTTGCATGCCTGGTCCTTGCAGGCATTTGAATTTGAGATCTTTGGCTTCAAGGAGCAGAGATTGGTTATGTGGAATGGGGGGGCCGCTGAGCAGTTTTGGGAAAATGTCCCTCAAGTCTCCTCAGGTCTGTAAGAGAGACCGCTGGTCTCTGCTTCCCTCGAAGGCACAGTGAAGTAGAACAGATTCACACTGGGCAGGGAAGGGGGAGGGACCCAGGGGGTCTCTCTCTCTCTCTCTGTGGAGGATGCTGTTCATTGCAGATTCTGTTTCTGATCAGAATGGACATCCATTTGCCCACAGTCAGTCACCCAGGAGGCAAGGGGAAGTCCTGCCTGCTCCTTTCTGAGCTGCTCACCCCATTTCAACTTTGAAGCTCTTCTTGTCTTCCCAGGGTTAGAATCCCACGGAGTGTGGCTGGGGTGTGACCTCTCTGCCAGGCCATCAGAGAGGAGCTCCCTACACCGGGCAGAACTGGTACCTCTAATGTCTCTTGGGTCTGTGGACTTCCCGGCTCAACCTCTGGAAACTCGATTTTCTTTTGTGAAAAAGTTTACTGCTTTTTTTTCTTATTATAAATAAGTAGTTCACGTATCCTGATTGTGGTCGAAGCTACCCAAACCTATGTATTGAATAAAATTCACGAACTATACAGACGTCGATTTTACCGTATGATAATTTGGAAAATAAAATAATTAATAACAGACCCATTAAAATCCTTTGTAAATTACAAGGGATTGAAAGAACGAAAAAGAATAAACATCTGAATACTAATATTTTGCCTTATTTCCTTCCACGCTTTTTTGATGCGGCGTAAAATGTATTTGAATACGTCCGTACTTAATGATGATTATCATTAATTATATATATATGATTATATATATGATACATATACATGATATATATATATTTATGATGATTATCATAAATATATATATGTATATATATATATAATTTGATTCTCTGCTGGGTTTTCATTTAAATAGAAAAAATTTTTCTATTTTTTGAGTACGTTCCCCCCAAGCGTCCTTTTCATGGCGACTGCACGGCACGGAATGAGCTCCTCCCCAGCTGGGGCTCGGAACAGTGCTTGGCACAAACATTCTCAAACATGGGGACCCTTATTACCAGTAGTATTATCAACCATAAGTTATTGAATCATTTCCTTCTTGTTAGAAATGTAGCCTGTTTCCAATTTGTACTTTAAATACTTCTGGAAGGAACATTTCTATGTGTGGTGCTTTTCCCGCATTTCGGAGCATTCCATTAGGAGACCATGCACGTCTACCTCGGTAACCATATCATATCATCAGGTTTGTCTCCCTAAGTGAGGCTGGGCCTTGGTGACACTGAAGGTGACCAGGGGCAGGGGACCTCTCTGGGGGCTGGGAAGCCTTGGTGGTCTCTTCCTTGGCTCTGGCTGGGTGGCCTAGGCCCACCCACCAAACGTCCTCTCCCTCACATACCCCTGAGCTCTGCTGCTTCCTTGGCTCTTTCCCTGAGCCTACAAATAGGCCCGAATCCCTCTCATCTTGTGAAAATCGGACTTCCATCCTGAGTTCCTCTCCACTGTTGTGTCCTCCTCCCTTCACCAGACATCTCTCAGAGAATAACGCGTCTCTCTGGAAAGCCTGCTTCCGGAGCTTCTAGGCAAACTCCTACAAAGTCTTCAAGACCCTGCTCAAATGCCCCGTCTTCTAGGATGCTCACCTAACTCCTTGAGCTGCTAACCATTGTATGCTTGCTGCTGGGACTGTTGGCTGCATAGAGATGATTCTGTTTCTTTTCCTACCTCCAGACTCTAGCACCGGGAACGAAGTATGGCGGGTGCTCTGTGAACACCAAGGGGGAGACCGTGAACCGGGGCTCTGAGGCCGAGCCTCTATGTTCAGTGAATGTTCAGCTTCTTTCTCGGTCCCTGTGCCGGGCAGTTGTGGGTTTCTTTCTAGAGCACAGGAACCCTGGAGGGGCTGTGGTGTGATGAGACCCCTGTCAACCCCCCCCACCCCCGTGACACAGAAGGTAGGGCAGGTACAACCTACCTCCGCTCCTGGGTCTCCCTTCTCCCCGGGCTCTCCTTTCTCCCCCTGTGGGCACAAAACACCACGGTGTGGATGCCGGCCCTCAGGGAGGCTGGCACAGGAATACCCTCAAATGTGTGACAAACCAACCAGCACTAGACTAGGCCTAGGTGTGACCGGGGGACATCTCGGAGGCTGAGGAGGCAGTCAGCCTGATGGACGATGCCCCGGCAAGGGCCCTGAGATCGCGGTCTTCAAGACTCTGCGGTCCCATGGGGCGCCTGGGTGGCTCAGTTGGTCGAGCGTCGGACTTGGACTCAGGTCACAATCTCACGGTCTGTGGGTTTGAGCCCCACGTTGGGATTCTCTGTCCCTCCCCTGCTCATGCTCTGTCCCTCAAAAATAAACATCAAGAAAAAAAAAAGACTCTGTGGTTCCATCCCACGGGAGGAGAGGCCGATACTGTGCGTGGATCCTGCCGTGCACAGACCCTACAGTGACCCGAGACCTGTTTCTAACCAACAGAATATGGCACCTGGCAAAGGTGATGGGATGTCCCTCCTGTGGTTATATTACAAGTTCATGGTACAAACTATAACATACACATGTTAAGGTTATGTTAGAAATATGTTACACACACACACACACACAACTAACTCTGTTGGAAGCAGGCACTGAGAGACTCCTGCCGGCCCTGACCTTGAAGAAGCAAGCTGCTCTAATGTGAACTGTCTGTCATGGGGAACAGCCCGCATTGGCAGCCTGGAGTAGCTGAGGGACGCGGCCCTACTATGGCAAGGCACGTGGTCCTACTATGGCATGGATCATGCCAACAGCAGAGAGCTTGGATGAGGACCTGGGTGAGAACAGAGACCAATAAATAGCCTGACCGCAGCCTCGTGAGGCCCCAGGCAGAAGACCCGGTGGCCTAAACGCCTGACCCACAGATACTCTGAGGTCACAGGTGCGCTGTCTTAAGTGGCTGAACTTGTGATTTGCAACGCAGCTGCAGAAATGAATATGGCTCTGGGAACAGAGCAAGGGCCCGTGGTGGGAGGGCGACGAGGAAGCTCCCACACCACATCCAGGAGCAGGTCCCCCGCTCCACACTGGAGGGGACACGTCAGGAGGCGGTGAGCTGTCCCCCTGTCCCATCTGGGTGGGGCAGCCCCAGTTAGTGGCTCCCGAGGGACTCCTGCGCTGGGTCAGAGGTGGGGCGGGTTGACCTCTGAGGTTCTTTATACTTCTAAGAGGAGAATTCTGAGTCTAAGATTCTAGCGCCTTTGAACCAGGCTGGTGCCTGAAGGCAGGGGCTGCAGTGCCGTGAGCGGAGGAAGTGGGAACCACTGTTCACCCTCCAGTCAGTACCCTGCACAGAGTAGCTGCTCATCAAGAGAACACGCCCGCCCCGCACTGAGGCCAGCCCGGCGGGCGGGGGTTAATGCAGCGTCGTTATAGCGCCGGGCATCGGCTGGGCTGGTGACCACAGCGAGGGCGCCCCTGCTCGCATGCCCTCGTCCACAGCTGCCTGCTGACAACCTTGATACCCTGCCCTCTCGCCTTACTGTAAATCCCGGGAGCCCGATCGGGCCGGGCAATCCTGTTGTTCCGGGTCTCCCTTGGCCACCTGGTTCTCCTTTCTCCCCAGTTGGGCCGTCTAGACCCTACAGATCGACAAAGATTTCTGTTAGTCAGGAGGAAGGTCATCAAGTGGGCCTCTGCGACCAACCGTGGCATGCACACATGGCTCCCTTCCTCCAAGGGCAGGTGTCTAGGATGGTGCCCATTTCACAGATAAAAACCACTGAGGCCCAGAGAAGACTCCCAGGTCCAGTCGGCAGCCTGGCTGGACTGGGTATGGTCCTTTCTTTGTACCTGCAGCCTCTCCGGGGTATCAGGCTTCCGCATACTTTCCAAAGAGGCACATTTACACCTACGACTTCATCGCCTTCCCAACAACCCAGTGAAGGGTCCAGGGGAAGCATTCTTATCCCCATTTTAGAGATGACAGAACAGGTTCTGCAAGGCTCAGCAACTTTCCCGAGGACACAGGAGATGACAGAACAGGACCAGTTCTCCTGAGATAGGAAACTGGCCTTCATAAAAGAAAAGGGGGGCTTGAAGGGAAACCCAGCTGAGTCTCCTGCCCCCACTTCCAGGCTGCAGATCTCCAGCCCAGGCCGCGGTGGGGACCCTGAGGAAGCCATGCTGGGGTGGCACACTGTGCAGGCATACGCGTGTCACAAGGTAGGGTCCCGGCCGGCCCAGCACTCACCGGTGGGCCTGCTTGCCCCGTCTCCCCTTTCTCCCCCTTTTCTCCCGGGCTCCCCACGTGTCCGTCTTCACCCTTCATTCCTGTGGGCCCAGCCTTTCCTGGGGGGCCTTGGGGACCGGGAGGGCCCATGTCGCCTGGTTTGCCTCGAGGTCCCTTTAGAAAATATCAGCAATACTTATTATACACACTAATGGAGAAAAGAGAGAGAGAGAGAGAACAGGAAAGAACGGGAGGTCCAAAGGATGTGGCTCTTCAGTGCTTGACTGGCCCCGGTGAAGAGCCTGTCCACTTTCCCTGGGAATTCTAGAAACTTCCAGCCCAGCCCAGCCGGGTCTTCCTGGCTCCTCTGGGGCCGGCAGTGTGGGGCTCAGGCTTGCGTAGGGTTGGCCCCCACCTCCCCTACTCTCTTCCCCACAAGGCTCACACCTGGGCTTCTTCCAGAGCCTTCTGTCCCCCCTCCCGGTCCCCCTGCCAGCCCAGGTCAAGGTCCATCTTCGGAGGCTTGTCTGGGAGTGTCTGTTCTTACCTTTTCCCCATCGTGTCCTGGAGGGCCTGGAAGTCCAATCTCCCCCTGTGGCCAGGACAACTAAAGGTCACTCTCAGAGCAGAGACGAATGATAACTGTCATTTATGGGGCGCTTCCCATGTGCCAGGGTCCCCCGGAGGTATGTACTTGCACTGCCTCCATTTCCAGGTGAGGACCCCAGGGCGGAGGTGTGTGCCCAAGGCCTGCGGTCTGTGCAGAGTGGAGCTAGGTCCGAGTCCGGGCCTCCTGGCCCCACAGGCCACATTTTGGCCACAACCTTGCGTGCTGCCACTGAGGGCCCTGGGTACTCCCTGGGGGGCTGTTGTCTCCCAGTGTCCCCCAACCCAGCCCTCCTGTCCCGCCTGCCCCAGGGGGAGCTCCCTGTATCTTCACGTCAACCCAAGCCTCTTCTTTAGGTCAGGGAGGGAGATAAAGGAGGCCTAGTCTCTGTCTTTGAGGCCAGTAAACAACGAGCCACGTCTCCAAGGCAAAATGAGGCTATGAGGGGAGCAGAGAGGAAAGGGCAGTGAATTCTGCCTGGTAGATCAGGGGAGGCTTCAAGGAGGAGGTGGCCTTTGAGTTGGGCTCACACTATGAGGAGTGGGAAAGGTAGGGGAAGAGGGGAAGGAGCTTCAGGGCAGGGGCCCTCATGAGCAGAGGACAGAGGGGCAAACGTGCAGGGTCTTCTGAGAAAATCACAGGGGTGAGGCAGAATATAAAAGAGCAAAGGCAGGGAGTGAGGGAGGAGGGAGATCGGGGAGGAGCTTAAGTGCCACGTCGCCTGATGGGTGGGTTGGGGGTCCCCACATGGTTTTGCCTGGAGCATGGCTTGTCTAGACCCAGGCTCCACCACATCAAAGGAGCCTGTGGATTACAGCAGCCCAAGTCAGGCAGCGGAGCCGAGGTGGCCGGTCTGGGGGTGGCTGTGATGTGGGCAAGGTAGGGCCTGGGGCGCCTGGGAGCAGCGGGAGGAGTCACAGGCCAAGTCGCCATGGTGGCTCTGCAGGGAACACTAGAGGGTCACCCATTGGCTTCCGCACTCAGGGACACACGCAGTGCCTCTGCGGGGCCCGTCGCCCCGCCCCTGTCAAGACAAGCGTTACCTTCTGGCCTGGGATCCCCGGGGCTCCGGGTGGGCCGATTTGCCCGGGAAGACCAGGGGGCCCCTAGGAAAGAAAAGAAAGACCCGTGGAGGAACTTTCTAACCAAGGAGGGGTGGCCTGTTGCCAGAGGGGTGTGTGTGGAGGCTGGTTTCCGGAGATCAATCATTTTCAAACATTTCATCCTTTTCGCAAAGGAAACAGTATGGGGTTCCCACTGTGTAAGGCAGATGAGCCCCGAGTGCGTCTGGATTAGAGTGATGCTCCCCCTCCCCACCGACCTAGAGCCACGCCTAACAGCCTCTCCCTCTTCTCCCTCTGAACACCCCTGGGGGCTCCTGGGCTCCAAGAACATGATTCTGACCTCTCCTGACAGGGCCTTAAAAATGCCTCCAGGAAACAGTCTAAATAGCCATCAGCAGGTGAAGGTCTGCGACGCCCATACAATGAAATATTACTTAGCAGTAAAAAAAGGAAGCAGGCACTGGTTCCTGCCAGGCCACGGATGAAACCCAGACACATTATGCTGAGTAAAAGAAGCCAGACACAGACGAGAATACAGTGTGATTCCATTCAAATGACACTCCAAGAAAGGCAGGTGTAATCTACTGTGACAGAAAGCAGATCCGTGGTGCCCCAGGGCTGAGGGTCAGTGTGGGATTGACGCCTGAGGCACATGAAAGAACTTTCTGGAGTGACTGGGGTGGAGGATACGTGGGTATGTGCATTCGTCAAAGCTTATCCAACTTTACCCAAAAGTGGGGACGTTTTATTGTGTGTAATTCATACTTTGAGGTTGATTTTTAAAAGAACCAAGAATTCCATGAAATTTCAAATAATATATGTTAATGTTCCCAAACGAAGCTCATCGATTCCAGAATCGTGTGATGTTAATACCCACCTCCGGGGTCAGGGGATGCCGTGCCTGGTGCTTGATTCTGGATCTGTACACCCCCTAAGCCTTCTGTGGCACGTGGCCGTGAAAAATAGGAAGTGAAATGAAATCCCAACAGTTGGAGAACTTTGTGATCTCCTTTCTTCTCTCCACATGGAACTTAAACCTCGGGGTGGTTGTGTTAACCATAAATGTTCACCACAAAAATGCACAGGCCTGTCACTGGTAGGTGCACAAGTAAAACCTGGGCTTGGAATTCTCTGGCTTTCTGAGTGCAGAAAATGAAATTGATTCCTAGGGAAGGTGAAAATGCGGAGGTTGAGTTGCTACTGATTTTTTAGGGTTATGGATTTTATTGGCTGAAGGTTGAGAAAAACGAGAAGCCTAAAAGCATCCTCCTTGGGGCACCTGGGTGGCTCAGTCGGTTAAGCGTCGGACTCTTGATCTCGGCTCAGGTCATGATCTCACGGTTCGTAAGATCGAGCCCCGAGTCGGGCTCTGCACTGACGGTGTGGAGCCTGCTTGGGATTCTCTCTCCCTCTCTCTCTCTCTCTGCCCCTCCCCTGCTCGCGCTCTCTCTCTCTCTCTCAAAATAAATAAATAAACTTAAAAAAGAGCAGCCTCTTCTCTACCTCCATCTCCTTGACACAGCTTTATGGAGAAGCATAGGAGCACGCAGTGGAATCGGCTGTCCAGAGGACAATCGGGACCCCGGGTCAGGGAGGCTCCTGAGACCCCCCTGCTCGGGCTCCCCTCACCCTCTGCCCCAGCACTTCACGGTCGGTCCAAACCCAGATGCCTAGCGCCTGCTTTCTGGAAGCTAGACCTCAAGTCCTTGCCCTCCCCTGGCCCCCAGCCCCCAGCCCTCAGCCCTGTACCCAACAGAAAGGGGAAGACTTACCATCAAGGCCAGCGTTCGGATCTCCTGAAAACCAAAGCCATGCAATCAGTTGAAGAACAAGTCCAGAGCCATCTGGAGGCACCCCTTGGCCCAGGCAACGAGGGAGCTGGGCCTCCCCTTAGGAGCACAGTAGGGGTAGGCCCTGCTGGTGGGCCCCATGCTTCCCAACCCACGCCACCCCACCTCTCGCACTGGGCAGACACGTCCCTACACCTCACCAAATGCTGCTCTGACACTGTCCCACAACAAACTCAGTCAAGTCCCGAAATGGACCGCAGACTTCGCTTCACTTTGCCAGAGCAGGAGGGCACAGCACATCTCTTATTCTCTCTAATCACCGACTGGGACTCTCCCTTCTTCTTTCCTCTTCCCCCCGAGCCCAGATTTCCAGCCTCCGACGTACTTCCTCGTAAACAAGGGAGCCACTCAAGATATGGAACCGATATAGGAAGATATGGAGCCACTCAAGAAATCAGAGGGACAGCGCTGGCATGAAGTCAGGATTATACACCTTCCAGATGGATTCACAGAGGTACTTTCTTTTGAGCGGTGGTTCTCAACCCCGGGGGTGAGGTTTGGCCCCCAGGGGACTTTTGGGAATGTCTGGAGACATATTTTAGTTGTCACAGCTGGGGGAGGGGTGCTACCGGCATCTAGTGGTTAATCACCCTACAACATGCAGGGCACCCCTCCCCCACAACTCCCAACGAGCACGCTCTAGCCATTCATGGCAATACCCTGCTTCAAAGGGTGGGTGCCATATGAACTTGAAACGTGATTAAACAGGCACGCAAAGGAGATATGTTTCAGAAAGACAGATTCTACCATGTGAAAGGGCTATTGAAGAAACGGGGCTCCAGAACCCTGGATAGGTCAACATCCCACAGGGTGCCAGGATGCTCCGGTTACGGCTCTCAGTTCCCCAGAGCCAGGATAACCCGCCAGCCGGGCCACACCAAGGGCTGGGCCTCCCGGCTGCCAAACGAGGGAGGGGCATTTTCCTGGAGGCTGCAGGCAGAGGCCAAGGGAGACAGAGCAAGGGGGCCTCTCTTCTGGAAGCTCTGCCCATTAGCCTGGCCTCAAGGACACTAACTAGGGTGCTGGGGCGCTCCCTCATCAGGGCCGTGGTGCAGAGCCTTGGAGGCCCCCGGGCATCTCCAGATCTCTAGAGTCTGGGTTAGCCCCCACTCACCTGGAGAGCCTCGTTGATGTTCCCATTGTAGTCCACCATTTCTTTGCCTGGTTCCCCCTTGCTGCCCTGCAAGACAAACGTGGTCTCACCCCCGGCCCGGGGCCCAGCAACCGCTGCCCGCTCTTAGACGGGATTGTAGCCAACACGGGTGATGCCTGGCTGCACACGGGTGTGTCTAGAGCAGCAGGATGGGGAGCGTGTCAGTGGGTCCCCAACACTGAGGCAGGGTGCCCAGAGGTTCCACGACGGACACAGAAGACTCCGTGCGACAGCTGGGGACTAGCCAGGCCTGGAGAAGACCGAGTCCAGTCACGGCTGCGGTCGCGAACCTCCTGCCACAATCTTTCCCTCCCTCTCCGTCAAGACCCAGAGTCCAGCCACCTCGTGCCGTGAGCCCAGGGAAGTGAGACGTCGCACTGGGACTCTGGGCGAGAGACGCACGTACCTTGGGGCCAGCCGGTCCCTGTTCTCCGGCTGCTCCGGGCTCACCCTGTCGTACGACAAAGTTGGAGTGAGACGCAGTCAGGGCTGGGTACGAGAGAAGCTGATGGCCCCAGAGGGGCCATCGTAAGGGTCTGTGGAGGGGCCGGGAGGCTCATCTCAGCTCAGGCCAAGAGGCTGCAAACGCCCCTGTGCATTAAAGTGCCGGCTCTACCCCTCCAGGAAGCGTCTCCACCCGAGGGCCCTCTTCTGTGCCTCCCAGCGCCTCTGGGCTCCGCTGCTTTTCACTGGAAGGACATTCTTTCTGTCCTGTGTTAGTTGTTAGGGACTCCACCTGTCTGCCTGGCCACCTCTCCCCAGCCCCTAAGTCAGCCACCTCCTTGGGTGCAGGGACCAGGCCCTTTGCTTCGCTGTATTTCCAGTCAGCTCAAGCAGCAAGAGCTCAGTAACTTTTCGTCAATGGCCTGGGCGGTCGTAATTGCCACGGAAGGACCGTGGGTTCTTCCAGAGGCCTGAGTGTGAAAGCCCCAAACTGCAGGATGGAAAAAGGGAGTTCAGCGTAAGGGGAACACTCAACCTCCCCTGGTGGGTGGGGTGGGGGTTGCTCCTGCTGGACAGAGGACAGAGCTATGGGGGAAGAAATGAAAACAAACCACACTTCCAACTGTTCTGGGACAACGTTAACATTCAAGACAAATTTCAAAAGTCAAGATAGAAAGTCAAGATAAAGGGACAACAGGCCCTTTAATAGAACTCAGCTCCTGGTGACCCTGCAGTGGGCCAGCTCATGGAGCGTTGAGTCACTGCCACCTGCGGGTAACCTGCCCCTTACCCCCCTGTCCCTACAGCATTTCAGTTGCTGAGCACCTGTGAGGGATGGGGCAGCACCGACCTGACCCTCCCACAGGAAGGAGCTGGAGAGGAGTGGGAGCCCCGCCTTTACCAGCCGCATGGAAGCTCACAGAAGCAGAGGCTCTGGGAGGCTCCCTGGCCCAAGCATGCACCCCCGAGCCAGCCTTTGCATGACTGCTGACTCGGGGGAAGGCTCTCCCCAGCCTACAGGAGTGATGGCCCCAGGAGTCACGGCCCATCAGCCTTGTGCCCTGGGGGTCCAGCTGCGGGAATGGCCGCCATGATTCTTTCTCTCTCCGAGCTGGGGCCTGAGCTCCCAAGCTGCCCCTTGTCTCGGAACTGGGGGCCTCTGTACCTTGTCTCCTTGCCGTCCTGGGGGGCCGGCCTGGCCATCAACACCAGCTTCTCCCTGGGGAAGAGGAGAGACGGGCTGAGGGTGTGCAGGGCAGCTCGGCCGGCTGCCTAAGGGGCCACACGAGGGCCTTGCTGTTGACGTTCTGGGTGTTGAGTGTCTTCGGATCTCCGTCAGTGTCTGCACTGGCTTCTGCTAACTCACCTCCTTCTACTTCTCTGACTCCCACCCAGCCAAACTGGGTCTCACCTCCTCCTGGCAGCCTTCCCTGCCTACTCCCTTCCTCCTCTGAGTTCAGCACGGCTTTCTGGGGTCCATACCGCCCTGCCGGGCCCTTCTCATTTCTTGATTAACACACACAGGCCAGTTCTGTGGCAGCCCCCAGCTGTGGACTGCTGGCCGCCCCTGGCTGCAGGGGGGCAGGTCACTTTGGAACCCGGGACACTTGGCAAGGCACAACTCATCAGGTCCTGCCTGGGAGGCAGAGGGGACCGAGAAGGCCCAGGGCATGTAGGGAGGGGCGCCAGGAGGCCTAGGAGGGGAGGTGCAGAGGGAGATGGGAGGAGGCCCACCGGACATACTTCCCCTAGTCAACATTTTGCCTGGACTTGGAAGGAGGACATAGGTTTGGGAGCAGCCTTCTATCTTTCCTCCTTTTTGTCCCAGGATGCAGGGATAGTCCCCAGACATCCCTGACCCCAGGTCAAGACCCAAGACATGCCAGGTATCCACTCCTTGAGGGGTCGGTGGGACAGACGGGGACGGACTCCAGCCCCGGGGATCCCGGAGCCCAGGTGGCAGGGCCACCTTTGGCAAAGCTGGTGATCATGACAGGGCACGAGCCACAGTCAGGTGGGCATGTGGGGGTGGGCCCGAGACCCTTTCTGCCACTTCATCTCACCTGTCTATGGGCTTCCTTCTGCCCCCAACCCCCCACACTATATCCGTGTGAAGTGTGGGTTTGTTTCTCCTGCTAGACTGTGAGCAAGTGGAGGGCAGATTCTCTGCAGCCTTGCAGCCCAGGCGGGGCCCTGCTCACAGCCACCCCTTGACAAACGTTGGTGGGATGAATGTGTGTGTTGTCTGAAATCGTGTCATGAGTCCTTTCCTTACAGGCCAAGAGAAAGAACGTCCCCATGTCCCTATGCTACTGGTATAAACCAAGTAGCACAAAAGGCACCTGCTTTGGGAAACCCCAATCTTACTGTTGCGTTTCCACCCAGTGCAAGGAAGGTGAGGGCTGTCCCATTTGCAGATGACCCCACTGCTGGCCCCCAGCCCCTTCCCCCCACCCCGTGTGCCAGCACCCAGTGGTGGAGCCCAGCTGATCCCTGATCTTGACTTATTCTGAGCCTGGGTGAGGGGCCTTTCTGTCTATCCTGAGGTTCTGTAGCCATCGGTTCCTGACTCAGTTATATCATAGCCATTTGGATCAATGGGACCATCTATCCGCCCTCTTGACTGTTTCCCTTGCATGGTCAAATAGTCACCACTTGGAATCAGGCCCTTGGTCCAAATTGCCTTTGTAGAATCCACTGGAAACCCCACACATCTGGAGCATGAGAGAGGGCAAGGTGTTCAGGACAGGGTCCCCAAGAATGGGCTGAAGATAAAGGCCACAGACAGCATCCCCCTTGAGTGCTGATCCCACAGGGAAACTCACCTTTGGGCCTGGGGGCCCAGGTAGCCCTGGGGGGCCGGGCTCCCCTCTGCCCCCTCCAAAGGAGTTGCCAGCGTCGCCTTTTTCTCCCTGGGGGTGGAAGGGTGGGAGGATGGGAGGTAAGTTAACCATCACTGTGTCCGTCTAGCTCTGGAAGCTGGTGGCTGATCCCTGTCTTTTCCCTCCTCGTGGTTCCACGGGGTGGAGATAGCAGACCACCCCTCGGTCCAGGCCGGGCCCAGAGGCCCTCAGAAGCCTGGCTCGGTCTTATGGGCCGTGGGATGTGAGCAGACAATGGAGCCAGCTACAGCAGGGGAACGGGTAGGGAGCTAAAACAGGAGACCCATCGTGACTTGGGTCTAGACTCTTTCTCAGACTGTGTCCATGGACACTTCCTTCAGCGGGTGGGGAATATTTGGCATGTGAAAAAAGGAGTCTGGTGGCCAAAGGATGTCAGGAAAGGCAGAGTGAAAATGGAGCAGGGCAGGCTCCTTCCCTGCAGGGTGCTCTGAGGCCCTGACGGGCTAGGGTGCCCCGTGCCATCCCAAGGGGCCTGTGTTACGCAGCTCTCCCCAAACGTATTTGACCTCTAGCCTTTTGTTGTGTTTTAAATGGACAGTCTGAGGGATCTCAGGTACTAGGGGGTGCATTTTCAGAGCTGGTGCAAAGAGGTCTGACAAGGTCATAGCTACTGGTCTTTGAATATAGGCGGTTTTCTGTTTTGCTTTGTTTTGTTTTTACCAATCAGGGCCTCCCACGTGGTACCCCACACAATAATCTAGCTGCGTTGAGGTTGCTTTCCTCCAATCTGGGAGGGACACCTCCCGTGCCGGGGCCCGTGTGAATGGTCAGGTGCGGATGAACACCAAGGCCTTTGCGCGGAGCCCACCATTCAGAGCTTGCCAACACCCACCTTCTGCCCCAGGAGGCCGAGCAGCCCGGGGGAGCCTGCAGCCCCCTTTTCGCCCTGTGGAGGAAATGCAGACAGTGCAGGGTTAGGACCTGCTTCTCCAGGACAACCGGGAAGGCACCGGCCCCACCAGCATGGAGCTGAGGCTTTCTCTGTCCTGCTTCCCTCCCCCTCTGTGGGCCATTTCCTGAAAGACTCCATTTCCTGCCAGACCCCCATCTGCACCTGACTCCTCCCTTGGGCCACTTCATACTGGTGACGGCCTGCCTCCCTGGTCTCCTGTTCCCATACGGGCTGGGCCCTCACCATTCACGAAGCGACAGGGACCAAGAGCACTTAGCCCCTTTTGGGGTCTCCTGGGGACAAGTGAACGGTTTAGAAGGCTGGTAGTCGGGGGAGCTCTTTTAAGTAATCTGCTCTTTTCATTTTTTAAAACGTCCAGCATTCAGAGCTCCCTGGTCTCTGCCTCCCTCCTCCCTGCCTCCAGGGAAGACAAAAACCATCTAACCATATTTTGAGAAGTTTGCTTCCTGTTATGGGTTGACTCGCGTCCTCCCCAAATTCGTATGTTGACGTTCCAACTGCCAGTATCTCAGAACGTGACCCTCTTGGGAAATAGTGCCATCAGAGATGCAATTAGCCAAGCTAGGAGAGTCATACTGGAGTGAGGTGGGCCCCTAATCCGTACGACTGGTGTCCTTGCAAGAGGGGAAGTTTGGACACGGACATGATGCATACAGGAAGAACACCATGTCGGGATAAGGCAGAGACCGGGGTGATAATTCTCCACGCCAGGGAACACCAAGGCTGCCGGCAAACCAACAGAAAGGAGGCAAGGACAGAGCAGACCCTCCTTCATGACCTGCAGAAGCAGTGAGCCCTGCTGACTCCTCGATCTCAGACTTCCGGGCTGCAGCACTGCGGGACAGTGACTTTCTGTGGTTTGAGCCTCACAGTCTGTGGTCCTTTGTCAGGGCGGCTCTAGCAGACTAACACCCCTCGCTAAGCATCTTCTTCCGCCACGAAGAACTCTTCCCGTGACACGCGTCACAGGGCCCTGCTCTCGCTGCGCAGGTGAAGCGGCACCGTGGCTATGCGGGACCCCTCGCGGCCTCAGTGACAGAGCCAGGTCGGGCCCCCGCGTCCGCCGAAGCTCCGCCTTCTACACCATGGAGACGGCACTTTGCGCCCACAGAGTGTCTCCTACGGGGAGAGCACCCCCAAAAGAACCCCTGCAGGCCAACGCTAGAGGGCGCATTCTCCACGGCCCCGTGGCTGCGGGTTCTCCTAGGTAATAATACACACTGAGGGCCCCGGGGGGGTCATAATTCGCCAGATGTCTCGATGATTTTTGCCGCTGGAGCCACAGAAGATGCGGCACCAAGTCTTCAGGTGGCCTCCCCTTGCCACCTGACGGCGCACAGAAGCTGAGTGACAAAATAGCCTGAAGCTGCTCCAGGGAGGAGAGGAATGCCGGGTAAGGGCCCACGTGCTGGGAGGGAAGGGAGTCCTGGGGCCCCAGCAGGTCCTGCTTTGCCTGGGCCGTGCCTGGGATGTGCCTTAACTGGGGTCTGCCCTGCCACAGGCCGAGTCTGAAGGGAAATGATACAGGTGCTGCCCCCACGAGGTCCTGGGGGATGGAAGGGGGGGGGGGGGAAGGCCTTCCTTCTGCTGGTCTTTCCTCCTGGGTCACCAACACTTTCAAGGAGGGAGGGTGTGTTCCCGAGTGCAGGATTTCTGAAGCTTTGCCGGGCCATCCCGGCACTCCCTCTTTCTGGGGACACATGCACCTCCCCAGCACACCGCAGGCAGCACACCAGCCATGGGGGCGGGGCAGGGAGTGGGAGACCGGCAGAGGCCAGGATGGAGGGGACACACACTCAAAGACACAATATCCTACCCTCTGCCCCCTCTTCCCCGGCAAACCTGGGGGCCCTGGCTTCCCTGCTGCTCCTGGGTCTCCCTTTGGGGTAAGAAGAGAAAGTCACTGATAAGAGGATGGGGGTGGTGAGGGGTATGGTGGACAGTGATCATAAACCAGTGTTTCCAGAATACTAGTCCCATAAGATGTTACTCTTAAAAAAAAGGATGATCTAGTCAAAAGAAAGTTTGGAAAACGCTGCACCAGAAATTACAGTTTTAGAGCTTCCCAACACACATACGGCATCTTAAAGGTTCTGAGAAGGCCTGCAGTAAAGCAACCTGTGAACTATTTTTTACGTCTGTATTTCCCAAACATATCTGACCATGGAAGCTTTTTTCATGTTACGTCTCTTACAGTCCCAGACAAGAGAGACAGAGCCCTGCAGGCACAGGGGACAATAGTTACTGCCTGCTGGAGCTGGTGTGTAGGCAAGCTATCCGAGCTTCCCAGACCAGAATGCGGGGAGTGGGAGGCAATCCTGCCCAGCAGGCCCCTCCTGGGTGGGCTATCCTCCACTCAGCCAGGTCCCCGGCTCCGGGTCAGCCTCAGGGGGACCAGGAGCATAACAACAGCAGCCACTGTCACCTCCACCCCATGCTTGATGCTCCGTGCAGCCCAGAACATTCCCTCTGTATCAGTACCTTGGCTCCTGGGGTCCCCGGCTCCCCCTGTGTGGAAAAAAAAAAGAAGACTCAGGTAAAGAGATGAGAGAGAGAGAGAGAGAGCGAGCAAACTAGTGTAGGAGCCATTAAGCAAAGGTACTCATGGGGTAGGTGAAGCATCTGGCCAGCCCACGGCTTTCCTCTGCCTAGGCCTCAGGTCCCAGGCCAAAGGAGGCCTCCCGGACGATTCCGTACCCTTCCCCTCGGTGGCGATGTGGCAATGTGAATGCCAGCGAGGCACCCCAGGTGGAGGGAGGGGAAGGAACGGGCGTTGGCTTTGGGCAAGGTGCCCCCTGTGAGTGGACCTGCCGGGAGATCCACATTTGTGCTTTGGGGGTCCGCAACCATCTGCCTACCAACCCAACGGGTGGCTCGGGTGGGGTTCGGGAGAAGGTCTCCTGTTCCCTGCTCTGAACCTTGGTAAGCACACAGCTGCTGAATTCTGAGGGACGAAGGAAAACGCTGGGTTCCCTTGCACGCCGGCAGGGGGGGTGAGACCTTTAGTTGAGGCTGGTAAACCTTCGCTACTTACTTTGCAAGGCTTAGTTAAGCCTCTCTTGCTCAAGTTGTGCATAAGGGCCCAAATGTGGCCTTAAGAGAAGTGTTTCTGAATCCTGTCTGCCCCCTCCTTGGTCCAGCGGCCAACCCACTGAGTCCCTGAAGGCCCGATTCTGTCTTCCTCTCCCCTTTCCCCCCATCCTGCCCCTCGTGTGTTGAGCGACAACGTTCCACCGACCTTCATCCCCGCCACGGTGATGCCGGGAGCCCCCTGGCAGAGAGAAGAGAAGGCGTGGTGACTTTCTGCAGTTGGGACAGGCACGGAGGGAGCGGCCCGCCTCCCGGCCTCCCCTTGAGGGGGCTGTGGAGCCAGACCACTGGCTTCTGCCCGCTGTCCAGACCCTCAGCAGGGGTGGGTGGCTGAGTGTGGCACAGGGAGAGCAGGCCCCGAGGAAGGAGGAGGCTCTGTGCCGGCGAGCTCCCCAGGCTTCCCAGCCGCCTGCTCAGGGGGCCCAGGGGGACCCAGATGGGGGTCTCTCTGGGATGCAGTGTGGGGAGGGCTTCCGTGGGACAGGAAAGGAGGAGGAAGAGGAGATGGGAAGGAAGGCGGGTGGAAGGGAGAGCCGCACGGCAGGGGAGAATGGGACGTGGCTGATTTGACCCCTGAGCCTGCAAGGGGGGTTCTTCTCACAGAGAGCTCTCTGGGCCTGGGCCCTCATGGACTGGGGAGCAACCGGGAGCGAACCCCATTTCCACATCAGCCCAGGACCAACCACTTGGAGGTAAACAGGCTGCCAAAGGCACCCCTCAGTAAATCCCAAGTGGAGGTGATTTTTAGGGAGTCCCTACCCCCCGCGTGGGACTGCAGCCAGGGCTGGGGTGACCCGGGAAGCTTTGTAACGACCCAGAGATGCCCCGGAGGCGGCCTGGCCACTTCAGGGCACTGGTGAGTGTCGGCTCACGGGAAGAACAGGCTGGCACAGCAAGGGGAGAGGGCTGGGGAGATATGTACCCGCCTTCACGTCTTCACAGCGGCACATGGGCAGGAGGAGTGGGGCCTCCGAGGTGTCCCAGGGCTTGGGAGAGAGAGCTGGGGCTCAGGCAGGGGCTGCCTGGGATGGGGTGAAGGGCACGTACCTTGGCTCCGTGTTTGCCGGGCATCCCCGGCATGCCTCGTTCTCCCTGAAGGAAGAAACAGAAGAAACGCTGAGGAGAGGGCCTGACTCGCCTGAGGCCCTCGGCCCTTGAAGCGTGGCCTGCAAGGATGCCAGCGAGGCGTCCATCCTGGTTGGTCTGGAAGCCCCGGGACGGCCGTGCAGCTCACGCTGAGCTTGGAGGACCTGCCACCACCGGCGGCCACCACAGGCCACGTGAACTCACGGAAGGGCCCAAGTCCCAGAGCGCAGATCACGGTGCAGGACAGGCGCCCAGCGAGACGGGGCTCACCAGCCGAGTCTGAGTCCTGAGGGGGCTGCGGGGGGAGCTATTCCAGATCTGCCACCAGCCAGGGGCCCCGCTGGCTCGGAGCTCAGTGCAGCAGGGCCATGGGTGGAAGGGGTTGCTTGGCCATCATCGGTGTCCCCTCCCTCCAGGTCCCCCCTGGCCCTTCTGGACCTATTTTCCGGTGCCTGCTGGCTGGGCCACTTCCTCCCGGCCTCCTGGGGTCTAACTCCTCCAGAGGGCGTGGCGGAGGGTGGGCCTCGGTTTGGGGGCGGGGACTGTGGGTGGGGGCAGGGCGGCGCCTGGAACCCGTCCAGAGGCCCCGCGGGGGCTGTGGCTTCAGGACACTGTGGGGTTTGCTCGACTATCTCAGCAGCGTCCCATCTTTCTCCTCAGCTTCTTTGACCTTCCCCGTGAAAATGCCACACCTGTGGGGCCGGGCTGTGAGCTCAGGAAGGACACGAGGTAGATGGGGCTGGAGGGGACAGCCAGCGACAAATGGAGGTCAAGTGGAGACGATGAGTCAAGACTCACCTATCGGGTCAGTGAAGTCGGGGGTGGGGGTGCTCGGGAGAGGAAGGAAGGCAGCTCCTGTCGCCATGAGCTGAACCCGAGATGAAGCCCCGGCCAGGGCTCTGAATGCCGAGCAGTGACAGGTGACAGCCACGAGCCTGCGGCAGCTGCTCGCCTCTGAGCACATCTGAAGGCTTTGGAGGGCAACGCAGGGCCCTGACAGACCCTGTCCCGGCCCAGCCTCCCCACTCGGGTCTCAAGAGCTGTGGCCTTGGGGCCAGGCTGCAGTTCCCACACAGGCTTCCGGGCGAGGGGTGACCTGGCCCCACCCGGCCCCCGTCTTTTCCGCTGCCCTCACCCCGTCTCCGCTATCTTCTGGGAAGTCCTGCCCACCCTTCTGCTCGCCAAAGCTAGAACGTCTTCCAACCTCTGTCCTGCATGACCGGGCCTCCACGCGGGCCTCCGGCTAAGCTCCCCAGTGCACAGGCTGGACAATAACTCTCCCCACTTCGAAACAGCCGGCAGGGGTGGGGGGGGGGGATGGGGAGCTGGTCACATACCACGTCCTCTGTGAAGGCTTTTGCTATGCACTATAACCCAGCGCTGGCTCTTCAGCGTGGCAGGGACCACTGTGCATCTGTAGTTTGCACGCACGGCCAGTGTCTGCCTGGGATGGTTCACCTCCATCCTCTTTGGCCTAAGTCTCTGTATTCTGCAACAGGCCCGGAATCTTTAGCTCTAAACGCGGGAGCCCTTCTTCACCCTGGCCCACCAGGACCCCTGAACCACAGGCAAGGTCAGCGGAGCTGTACTCGGGAAGTGAACACAGCAGACGGGTCAGCGCCCCAGGTCTGCCCCAGCCACCGAGTTCCGGGAAATCCCTCTTCCGGGCCATTTACTGTGCCTGCCTTGTGTCTGGCATGGGGCTAAGTGCTTTCCAGCTTCCCTGTATTCACTCTCCAAGACTCTTCTCCGACGTGGGAATTGGTGCTGTTCCTGTTTCCCAGGTGAGCAAACTGACTCAGAGAGAGGGGCCAGGCATGATCGCCAAGGTCGTGCAGAGCAGGGATTGGAACACAGGTCTTTTGTCTGCCAAAGCCCAGGTACCCATTTCTCTAAGCTGACCCCAAGCATCAGATGGGCTGATTCTATAGTCCCTCTCTGCCGGAGGCCCCTCAGGTCTGTGCCTCATAGGGGTGAGTGGGTCAACTCATTGGGGGGCTCACTGGGTAGCTCACTGGGGGGCTGGGTCTTTGACCACAGGCATGGCCCAGAGGGAAGAGCTGGGTAGGGCCCCACCTGCCAGCACAGGTCTGCTCTGTGGCCAGCAGAGGGTGCCACAGGACCTCATCAGAAAACTGGCGCTTGTGACCACGATGGTGTCAGAGCCCGTTCCCCGCAGTAGCGCCAGCTGAGGGCCCCTGTCATCTTTTCCTTCAAAGAACCAGGATCTCCTGCTAACATTCCAACTGGCCCTAAGACACCAGGTGCGGGGAGGCACAGGTGGGAGATCGGCTTGGGTGCCCCTGACTATTCAGCCCTTCTTCCCTTGTCCTTCCCTCAGCCTTTCCTCAATGCCCCTGCCAGCCTCTTCCCACCCCGATCTGGGGAAACCGGCTGGGAGTCAAGAAAGGCTCTTGGAGCCTTCCCTCTCTGGGTCCAGGATCCTCCCCTGCAACGTGAGTTAGACTGGAGATCTCCCACCCACCCCTGCCCCACCCGCTTTCTCCAATCACCCCCAGCCCTGCCTAGGTGAGGCCTTCAGTGGGGCGAGAGGTCAGAGCTGGGGAGGGGCCCCTGGGTCTGTTGGCATCTCCAGAACGAGGCTGTCGGGGTGGGAGTTTAGCTGTGGGGGGAAAATGCTGGTCTAGGAGGGGTCTCAGTGGGTCTCTGATTTCCTTCCCTCCTACCTGGGGGCGGGGGGACACCTGCTGATGCTTCAAGAAGGGGGGTGGCGGGTCTGCCCAAACCCCGCCTCTGGGCTTCTGTCTCCAACCTCAGCAGAAGCAGTGACACCAGCGAGTGAAGGTTTCTGGCTAATTGGGGTTGTCTTCAGCCCGTGCCAGCGCGTATGAAAGGACAAAACCATCCACTCCAGGGAAATCTGGGCCCCTTGGAGCCTAAGGAGGCAGCCCTCCTCGTTAGCGTGGCTGACCTTTGCCCCTTCCCTCCCCTCTGGGTCAAGTCTTTTAATTCTGCAGGCGACCCAGGCTCCCTTGATCCCATTCTCAGGCCTCCCTCACTCCCACCCCTCTGCTGGGCAGGAAGCAGGGGCGCCCCCCGCTGACCCCACCCCGCAGGCTCGTTCCACTCTCATCAAGCCGGGCCTACCCCAGCCTGACCTCTGCCCTGGGGACTGGCCTGGCCCTACTCTCGGAAGCACTGATTCCTGGATCTGTGAGGTGAGACAGGGGTGAGTCATTGTCAAGGACTTCAGGGTGGCTGTGGGCAAGGGCACCTGTTTGCGGGGAGTGAGAAACGAGCTTCTGGGGGCTATCGCTGAAAGGGGGACCACGACACCTTTGTTCCCACAGTTTTTCCCCTCCGTGTGTCTTTGTGGGGGCAGATTTACAAGCTCCTTCTTTCCAATTAAAAGTATTCCCCTTCAAAGGGTTTAAGTTTGGAATTGTGCTAAATTTCGATTCACTAACTTACTAGTGTCGTTATCTCGGGTGCGGAGGGAGTCCTCAAAGTGTGTCCAAGTCCAAGATCCCCAATTTAACTCCTCTATATTTGCCTTCTCTTGTCTTCCCAGGGGGCCCCAGGAGCTCCCCCAGCGGGCTCCTGGAGACCCCTGCTGGGCCACCCTGCAGCTGCGGAGGCGGGCACCCCAAGTCTTGCCCCAGGTGCACAAAGCATGGATGGCACAGGCTGCAGTGGGAGCAGGCCAGCGACCCCCAGGCCGGGACATCCCACCACTTGGGAGGCTGGCTCTTGACCCAAGAGGCTATCAAGAACCAATGCCCGATTGCTGGCCGGGAAGGGGTAGATTCCAATCATTGTGGCTTAGAAAGCTCTGGGTGAGCACAGGTGGGTAGAGCAGGGGCTGCCTGCAATGACCTTGAAGTCCTGCCCTAGCCCCGACTTTTATGAGGCCACTGACTCTCCAGCTGGACCTTGTACAGGAGCGCCTTGTGGCATCAGTAGGGTTTCTTTTCTGGTCCCCACTTCCAGGTGGAGGGACCCATCATTTACTGAGACGACAGGATAAAAGCCGGCTCCTTGGAGCACAAAATGGCCACGCTCCTGTCCCGTGGGAGCAGCCTCTTAATTGGTGATTTACTGCTTGTTGAACAAGCGGGGCAGGGACTTGGCAAGAAGACATAGGCTGGAGGGAGGTGGGGGGCTTCAAGGTCAGCTCCCAGCCAAGCGCAGGTCAGGCCAGAGGAGTGTGGGGTGATGCAGGGACCTCCCTAGCGTGAAGCTCCCTCTGCAGCCGGAGGGCGGAGGGCGGGAGGGCCCGGGCAGAGCAGCTCCACATACAGACTCTTTGTTCTCTGCAGGGAGGAGGAAGGCCTGTCTGAGTGTGGGGAGTGGAAGGCTGCAGGGAAGGGAGGAGGTGGGGGTGTGTGGGGGGAGGCCAGCAGGCGTCTCAGGCCTCGGGCCTGGCCCAGGGCCCTTTCCCGGGCTGGGAAAGCTGGGTGAGGAGGGCTAATGTCTCTCTTTCCTCTAAAGGGTTCCTAGGACTCCCTTCCAGGAAAAGGCAGCTCATTTCCTTCTTCGCTACCCTAGCCAGCTCCAGACAGGAGAGGCCTGGAACCAAGGGGATGCCAGGCCCTCCGGTAATTAGGACCGGCAGGAAGTGATCTTGGGAATTACCGGGGTCAGGCGCCCCATTGAAGGCCAGGGTTTTGGAAGGGCGGCTGGCTTGTAATCTCGATTTGAGATCGGTTGATTTTGTAGTTAGCTCCAAAAAGAAAAGTCAGCTCTAATTAATCTGTGGACTTTGGAGTGTGGGAGAAACAGGGCCCAGAGAGCACAGGCTAGGGGCTGGAGGCCGGCGGGGTGAGACTCCCAGTCCCCGCGAGGCCTCAGATCTGAGGCCTATGTCGGGGATCCCTGATCTGCTTTAACTGAAACAGTCTGGATGTTCCCACTGGGATTTCATGGTTGTGAAAGAAAGTGCTGTCCCCACCCCAGAAGGCTCCTGCAGCCACGGCTGCCCTCGGCATGGAGCCCGGGGCTGCACGTGAGTGCCCTGTGGAGCCTGGGGTTGCTCAGGCCCTCTGAGAGCCACAGGGGTGCGAAGGGGGGGGTCTCAGGCATAGCTGTGGTGGGGCCCTGAGACAAGCTGCCTTCTCCTGGTTTTACTGAAGGCCTGGTACCATGCTAACTCCTTGGGGCAATCATTCGGGGTGGCGGGGGGGGGGGGGGGGAGGAGGAATCAAGGCCAATGGACAAAAAGCGCTCCACTTCCTGGGCTCTTGGACCGAAATGCACCAAGGCCCCCGAGTTCTGCTCGCAGAGAGCCTGGGAAGCTCAGAGAAAGGCCTGAATCCAGCCACAGCCTTTTCTCATGAGAAGGAGATCAGCCCACCCCCACCCATCTTCCTTCTGGGGGAGGAGGGCCTATCGGAAATCATGGCCACCCCCCACCCCTGCCCCCCACCGCCCTGCCATAAGGCCCAGGTAGTAAAGTCATTCAGAGCAAGGATGGCAAAGACGCGGGGATCAGACAGAACTGGGTTACTACTTCCTGCCTGTGGACCTTCTGGAACTCACCTCTTTGGGCCTCAGTTTGCTCATCTGTAAGTTAGGGTTAAGAATAAAACCTTCCTCACAGGGTTGCTATAGGGATCCAGGAACATGATGTATGCAAAGTGCCACGTACGCAGCCTGGCGTGTTGAAAAGACCCGGTGAGGCAGCTTAATGATACTAGCGGTCCTTCTACAGAAATGTGTCCACCCACACGGCCCCCTGCTGTGACTGGCAGACCGGGATGATCACACCCTGTCGGAGAAGGATTGGAGGAGTGTGGGAAGGGCCGGCGTGGCCGTACGGCGGGGGCCCAACTTGGACCGGGTAGGAGAGCATCTGCTCCTCTCGCCCTCACCCCAGCGCCCTAGACATCCCACCTTAGGGCCCAGCTGATGTCCCTTGGGAGCCCCACAGCCTCCGCAAGGAGTGACCGCAGTTGGAAGCTGCTCTAACAGGGGGCCGTCCCAGCCTGCCTCTCCTGGTCTGAAAATGCACAGCCCCTAGCCTGCGGGGAAGGACTGTGTGCCTCAGTCCTGGTCCTTCATGCAGACCCCAAGGCTTACCGCTGACCGCCCCGCGCCAGTGCACCCCCTGCTGCCGGGTCAGATGGACCAGCTCCGACACGCTTAGAGAGAGGCTCTCACCAGGTTTTGTGACCTACATACCGTCTGACAATACCCGTCGATCCCCTTGAGAGAGAGCCAGGGTTGCAATGTTTTAAACACACGTTGCATCGTACGACACATTTAAAGTAGATCGGTGGTCATAAATTTGGATCAAATCGGTACCACGTGGGTACACGATAATACTCACAGTGTCTAGGCAGCATGGCTGGTCCCGAGCGGGGTGGGGGCAGCATGGGGCCTGCTGGCACCCTGGGCTTTGATCCTAAGGAGCTAGGGAAGGAGACTGCCTGCTGGCCTGGCTGGTCACTGAGAGGGATGCCAGGCCTGGTCCAGCCGTCCAGGGGTGGCGGTGGTGGGCAGAACCGATCATTAGCAAACTCTGCAGGCCACGAAACATCTTTGCTAAGAGTTCAGTTCCACCCACGCTGAAAGAAAGACTCCCTGCCTGTGTATCAGGTCGCCAGGACGGAGAATTGAAGCAGACGTGGGTCTGTCGGTTACCCCATGGGTTCCCCTTGCACCCGAAACACAGGGGCCGTCCTATGGCCTCTGTCCCGGTATGGTGCTCCGACCGCCAGCGCTCACTCCTCCCTGGGTGCTGGGGTGGGTGCCTGTTACCAGCATCCAGCTGTCTCCTCTGTACGCCCCCTTCCAAGTACAGAGGGGAAGAGAGAGGAAAAGAGAGAATAGGTAGGTAGACAAAGAAGGAGTTCGGGGGATAAGCCTCCACATTCCAGGGAAGGCACAGGGAGGACAGCTCGTGCACAGCTAGCTTAGCCTAGGCCGACACCCTCTGAGTAGACACTCACTTCTGTGTCTGGGCCAGAAGACTGGCCCCTGGGCTTGGACTCATGAGACCTGGCCTCCGATTCCAGCATGATCTTTCGGCAGCCGTGCAACCTTGGGCAAAGGACTGACTTCTCTGAACTTCTCATCTGTACGCGGGGGGATACAGAGCTCTAACGGGCCACGGTCAGGACCGGTGGGATAGGGAGCACGTGAACTTTGGCTAAACCAGAGATGGGAAGTCCCTGGGCAGCTGTCCCTGGGCACCAGCATCCTTGTCTCGGCGCTCCGACGGGAAGCAAACTTTTGCCTGAATATGGTGGTCACTGGCTCGAGACACCCACAGCCCCAGTGGGTCTGGGGCAGTGGGATGGGCACTTGTAGCCTCTTGAGAGTCCCTTGACACCTGGCCCCGAGCTGAGGCTATTCCCTCCTCAGAAAAATAGACCCCCAAGCTCCTTTCTGGATGAGCCAGATTTCCAGTGGGCCCGCGGATGCAGATGCCTGCCGTGGCACACGGTTTTCCCGCCGCTGGCATCGCGGTGACTCTGGGGGAACTTCTGGCTGCCTGCACGGAACCAGGAGGCAGCAAATTTTGCAAGCCTGTGTGTGTGGATGGAAGCAACCGCAGAGGCTATAATTTCCACTTCCTGACACAACACAGATTTCTCAGTTTGTGCAGAACTAATTAAAGGTCTCTCAGGTCTTGCCATTTTGGCCCCCTGCCCCCCCGCCAAGCTCCCATAAAACAGTGCGGTGATGGCAGCCACCCGATTATAGAGTGTGAGCAATGTGCTTCTCCAGAGCAATCTTTCCCGTTCCCAAGTCCCTCCCCCTTCTCGTTCTCCCTCTCCTTCCTGTGTCCTTCCTTCTCCTGGCGCTGGGTCTAGAGGGCTGCATGAGGCTCCTTGTGGCAGGTGGTACCACGGGAAGGACCCAGGCCTGGGCTGGAGTTCCTGCTCTGTCCCTGAGGAGCCATGACACTTTGGGCAAGCCTCAGTGTCATTTGTTAAACAGGAGAGTAGCACCGGCCTCAGGGTGCCTGGGCGGCTCAGCCAGTTAAGTGTCCGACTTCGGCTCAGGTCATGATCTCATGGTTCATGAGTTCGAGCTCCGCGTCAGGCTCGCTGCTGTCAGCCCAGAGCCCGTTTCAGATCCTGTCTCCCTCTCTCTCTGCCCCTCCCCTGCTCTCTCTCTCTCTCTCTCTCAAAAATAAATAAGCATTTAAAACAAAGAAAAAAAGAATAGTACCAGCCTCGCAGCGTGGTTTTAGGATTAGAAATAACGCAGGTCACATTGAAGGACAGCCTGGGCACATGGTAGGCATTCAGTAAGTGGTGACTATTATTAACATCATTTGTAAGTTATTATCGTTATTGTAATGACTGCCCCTGGGCCTTTGCTCAACTTGTCTCCCTGTCTAAAGTGCCATGTCCCTTCAGATCTGCTGGTTGAAGGATCACCGTGGTGGATTAAAAACGGCCATGGATGCTTTGCTATTCCTTCCACAAGAAGTGGAGGCGGCGTGTCCTCCAGCACCCCACTGACGCGCGTGACTTAGCCACGTGACTTCCTCTGACCAATAGGATAGCAGAAAGTGTGATGCCTTGACCGCTTTGGAAAAGCTCTTGTGCTCTCAATATTTGCGGGTTTGAACACTGCCCTGGGCCTGCCATGCTGTAAGAAAACCTGTGTAGCCTGCCGATGGCTGAAACGCCACACGGGGGAGAACAGAGACACCCAGACCACGGCCAGCACCAACCCCCAAACGTGTGGATGAGACCGTCTTGGCCTCTCTGGCCTTTCCACCCATCGTCTAACGCAACGGCCCGAGCGAGCCCAGAGGAGACCAGCAGAACTCCCAGATGGCCAATCCACAGAACCAGAGTGAGAAATAAATTACCACTTGAAGCCAGGAAGTTTGGGACGGTTTGCTACACAGCTACGGATAACCGATACGCCCACCCATTCACCAAGGTTGAGCCCACAGGCTGTTTTCTCCCAGAAGACTTCCCAAACCCCTCCCAGCCTGGGATGAATCTCTCTACCCCACTACCCCTATTCACACAGTGCTTTGTGATGGTAGCTTAGCACAACCTGCCTTCACCAGGATTATTTGTACAGGAGTCTCTGTCTCTCTGGACTGCAAGTTGCCAGAGAGCGGGGTTGGGACCCCACCTCCATATTCCCCACCATGCTCAGCATGGAGCTCTGCCCAGGGCGGGCCCTGGTAATCTGTTCCCATTTACCAGGCCCTCAGGGGGCCAGTGAGAACCTGACTGCCTTGGTACAGATACAGGGCCCCAGTTGGTGGTAGGGGACCCACCTGAGTCTGAGGTCTGGCTGGGCCACTCATCACCTAAGGTCTTGCCCTTCTGAGCTTCCTCCTCCCCCCAGTGGAGACGCAAACTCCTGTCCAGCCAACCTCACAAGTGCGAGGCTCACACTGGGCAAGCGTGTGTGCAAACACGCATGGGCACAAGTCCTGACCCCGCATGCGTCATGGTGAAGACCCACTTGGGTTACTGGGGGGGCGGGAGGTAAGATCCTTCCTTCCCCCTCCCACTCCTCCTTACCTTTCGACCGTGGTAACCCTGGATTCCTGGGTCTCCCTGGGGGAACAAAGAGAAGACCGTTAGTGGGACTTTCCCAAATTCTGGCTCGCGCTGTCGCCCTCACAGTGCCCTTCCTCTTCTCAACGACTGCGAATCCTCCCGACTTCCAGCCAACCCTGGATCAATAGCTCTGCTTCCTCTGAAACACACGTGCGACGTGGTTGGGCACGGTCAGTGCTTTGCGACTTCTTGTCCCCAGAGCCCCGGGGTCCCCGGCTTCAGAGGGAGAGTCTGTTTGACACTTTGGGCCTCCACACAAGGTCTCACTAGAAACCCGATGACCCTGCAGGTCCCTTCCGGTTCTGACTCCAGGTGAATCGTTCTTTTATTGGGACGTTGTGACAGTGCCCCGGGCATCAACCTGGAGTTTCCAGCCAGACTCTAAGCTCCTCAGAGGGTGGGGCCGCGGCTCCCATACTCGTCATCGTGCCTGCACACAAAAGTGTGCAATGCCTAGGGGACCCAGGCAATTCCCAAGAGGGGAGTGGCGCTTTGGGAGCGAGCCAGGCGTGATCCGTCCCTCACTGAGGTCCCTCTCAGCTCCTTACTCGGCAGCCTTAGGCGCCGAGTCTCCCCCCGCAGACAGCGCTCCCACCCATTCAGTGCGTCACCCCAAAGGGCCCTCACCTTTGGTCCTGGAGGCCCAGGTAAGCCCTGTGGAGGCAAGAGCAGGGTGAGTGGAGATGGGCTCTGCAGGGAGACAGTGCAGGTTAGGCGTGTGCGCAGTGGAGGCCGGGCCAGGGGAGGGCCCGAGCAGCGATAATGAGTTCTGGATGTGCTAGGGAGCGGGTCTAGAAGATCCTGGACCGGTATCTGAAACCTGCCGAGGGCACACGGGGACGACAGGCTCGAGGGCCTCTTTGGTGCCATGTGGGCACCGTGGGCATCTCTGCTGTGCCCGCCCACTGGAAAATAGGCATCCTGCTAATTTGACAGTGTGGTTTGGTCCAGGTCCCCGCCCACCCGCCTCCTAATTGGGACCCCTCCCTGGGAAGCCGACCTTGCCCAACAGAGCCTTGGTTTTGCCTTTCTTTGGCCCTGTCAGCCTCCTGAAGAGCCTTCTGTCTCCTTCTGCCCCAGGGCGCTGTGACCACGGCAGTCAGCCGTGGGGAGGTGGCGTGGGCCCAGGGCCCGCGGGAGCCCAAGGGAGAGGGCGAAGGAAGGCTGTGGCTCCACTGTGGTCTGGGGCGTAGGTGTGGGCAGCAAACGTGGGCTGAAGAAAACCAAGATGCCCAAATCTGGTCTGTTTCAATTGGTTTCAAAACATGCTTCCTGGTTTTTCTTCTTTGTAAACAACCTAACAAAGAAAACCATCTGGCTCGGGTCCAGTGAGTAGGAACCCAATACGTTGGGGTAGGGGTCGTCAAAGAAGTAGATTTTGAGTACTTTGTTGGTTTTCTTGCCTGGGTTGGGTTCAGGTCCCTAAATTTCACTTCTTTTCAGGGTTTCCATTTCCCCATCTCCAAACCCATAGAAGTGAGACTAATATTTCTCCCCGGGGGCCAAAACAGAAATATTTAAAATCTATTGTGGAGGTCAAGCTGGGCGGGAGAGCTGGCAAGCTAGGTTTTCACATTGCTGAGGTGCCAAGCTGGGTGCCCTGGGCGGCCAGGGCTGTTGCCCGACATTGGTAGCAACCTCAGCTACACCGGACCTCGGCATCGGTGGCAAGAGCAGCTGAGGGGCCCAGGTTTGTGGCTGAGTGACCTGGAAAGTAGCTGTTGTCATCGAGGACTATTTGGCAGGGACATCGCTGACCTAGCAATTCCCCACCTCTGGGAATCTGTTGCAGCGAAAGAATCAGAGATGCACACACACATTTATGGGCAAGGCTATATATTACAGAAGGAACTCATTAACTATTTGTAAATAGGCCCAGCAGCAGCCCTAAGATCCACATCACGGGGGACTTCGGCCGTAGGAAAGGGAGTGGTTTATGATATTAAGTAAAAAACATAAGAGGACACAAACCGTTATATTATTCAGCACACTTGCGGACCTGGAAAATGCGTGAGTGCCGCTACGTCTAAGGAGAAAAATGGAAGGGCCCTCCGAAATGCTAATAATGGGGAACTCTATGCATAGGGCAAAATAGACGCTTTAAAACACTTTGTCCGTCTTCGAAATTTTTCTCAATGAATGTATGATGCTTTTGGCATAAGAAGGATAAAGGTTTCTTTCAATCATGTGAATAAACCATGTTGAACAGATGTTGCCTTTAACCCTGTCCCTTCAGAAACATATGGCCTTAGTCTTACCTCGAAGACTGAGAGGACCCATTTTCTGCAAAGAAGTCCAGGTTATTCTGCCCTGGTTCTCTGTTGCATTAAATAGGCCAGGAGAGCGGGGTCTTGACCAAGGCTTGGAAACCTTGGTGGCTTGACCTACTGCCTGAGCGTGGTCTGGTCTGGAGGGGGCACCTGTTGACCTCCCTTGGCTACAGCAGTGATCCAATCCTCAGGCTTGATTCAGGGTCCCCCTGGCTTACCAGACATCCAGATTGGCTGGAAGGCGGCCCAGGGGTGCAAAACCCACATACAGCAGCAAAGGCATATTCATTAGGGTGCCGGGTGGTCAGATGGCCCTTAGCTACCTTCTTCAGAACCCACTGCCCCCAACTCAGGTTTTTCTAAGCCCAGGGGTCAGGGGACAGCCTTCAAAGGCGGCCCTGGGAACTTTCTTTCCAAGCTCTTCTCTGCCGAGGCTGGGAAAGGGGCAACCTCTTAGTGATTCCCTGCCTGGAAAGCAATGACTGGAATTGAGGCCTGGCCCCAGGAGCTGGGTTTTCAGAACCAGAGTTCAACAGTTGAGTTGGGCAGGGATGGGGAGCTTCTTGCGTGACCCGCCTACGTCCAATGGCCTTGCCAAGGTGTTTCTGCCTGTTAGGCGGGGACCCAGACTCTTGTCAGTTATGCAAAGTTGGGATGCTTCCAGAGAATTCTTGGGACAAACCTTGGGAGAGGAGGTGGTAGAGAGAGGAAGGAGATACTTACGGGTGGCCCCATGGGCCCTGGCAGTCCCGGGGGCCCCAGAGGTCCGCTCGGTCCAGGGGGGCCTGGTGGCCCCGGTGGTCCTTGGATACCGGCCTGGCCCTGTTCGCCCTGAGATTGGTGGAAATGAGTTAGAGGGAGACCCTCAGGGCTGGGGAACGGCTCCCGCCCCAGTGCCATGCACCCGGTGAGGGCCCTATCGTGGGCTCTGGTGGGAAGGCGGTGGGGCGTGACGGTGATGATGCCGTGGTGGCGGCTGCATGCAGGGGCCAGTGGCAGCAAGGAGACGGCCAAGACATTCGGCTCCCAAGAGGAGGGGTCCAGAGAGGATCTGCCACACGAGCGGCTGGCCCCCGAGCAGGAGCCCTGCCGGGACCAGAGGCAGAGGAGTGAGCGAGAAGACCCCACCTGACCTCGAGCATATTTGCGGCCTGGTCAGATGGCCGGGGTCCAGCCCAGGTGGTCCTCAGCCTGGCCTGCCTCGGCTCCTCCCTCCGTGTGAACGGTCACATCCTCTCTCTACACCCACCCGCCGGGCATCGAAGGAGAGCAGTACAATCCTGCTTCCGTTTCCTGCCGCAGGATTTTGCTGTCTGATTGTCTGACTCGGACGGTCAAAGGGAAGGGCCTTAGGTCACAGGCCGCAGAAGTTGGTGTGGCTCACTAAACAACTGGGTGAGTGATTTTATGTAAAACATTTGGGCCGGGGGCTTCTGATGGCACAGGGAGAGCCCTGTCCCTCGAGGCCCACATTCCTACGGGTGATCACGGACCGAGCCCGGGGTCCAGGTAGCCTGGGTTTCCCCTCCCCCATCCTTCCTGCGTGAGGCCTGCTTCTGTCACCTACATGATCTGTGCCTGGCTTCACAGGACAATTGAGTTGGCAACCCTGAACTTGGTTGAGTTTTGAAACCGTAAAGTGCTTTATGCCTATATGGGTCTCGGTTAGTGTTCTTTTGCCCCACCCCTACTCCTCAGTCAGCTGCTCTGAGCCCAGCATTTGTCACCCACCGTCCCTGTGCCCAGCCAGGGTGGACCGAAGGCCCAGGGAGCTAGGGGTGGCATCGGGTCCCCCTCAGGAGGAGGAGAGAGCCTGGCCATGTGACCCAGATCATGGGATTGGGGGCCAAGCCGAATCATCCTAGATCTAGACCGATGCTGTCATATTATTTTCTAAGCGACCTCCCCACGGACCATCTGGGCCCAGCTCCTGTGAGAGGGAGCCCATCCCTGCAGATGGCCGGGCGGGTGTGCGAGAGCTCCAGGCTGGGATGCAGGGGGACACAGGCGGCCGGAGGTGCGGCTTCAGTGTGCTCTCGGCAATTCCCACAGGAGGAAATGATGAGTACAGGTGGGGGCGCCCAGCTTCAGAAGGAGGACTGTGGGATCCTAGCAGCACCTGCTTCAACCTCCCTTGGCCGGGACGTGCTGGCGCAGATGACCCGGGGTTTCGTCCTGCTGCCCGCTCTGAGAAGCCGCTGGAGGGCGCGGAGCGTCCATGGTGGAGGAGGCAGGGGCAGCGATGGGTCACAAGTCGCGTTTTGCAGAAGAGAAAAAGGGCTCGGAGAAGTGGAACTCCCTGACGGAGGCCACGTGGAGAATTCAGTGGGGAGCCAGGACCCAAACTTGGAACTCCGGACTATTCTTATTCATTCCAAATAAGCACCCCCCCCCCCCCCCAGAAAAAACGACTCACTGTCCAACTTTCTGCACTTTGGAAGTGACCTCCAACGCCATCTGCTAAGTACATCGTATTTCATACAGTGTCCTCTGTCAGCAGATGTTAGACCCAACGTTTAAGCCTGTTACAGAGCCTGTAAAATCAATACTGGTTTATCGATAGGAAATGGACAAGCCTTTCTATGTATGTCCCATGAGGGCCGACAGCATAAAAATCTTATTCTCCGGGCAAAACCTGCACCAGGCAGAGGAGAGGCCCCCGTTCTTCCCTCCCTACTCCGGAAACCAGGTCAGGGCAGCACAGAAAGTTCTGGCTCACCCGTGCCCTGCTCTTGAAAAGGGAGGCAGTAACATGCAGTGGCCTGGATCGAAGCCTGGGCCCCTCTCAATTTCTTCATCTGTAAGATGGGGATGACGATGACGGCACCCGCCCTGGCGGGTGACTGGTGTGACATTACAAGAGCTAATCCGTGTGGCATTCTTACAGCAGTGCCTGGGGCCCGGCGAGGGCTCAGCCTACAGCAGCTAAAGCAACAGAGGCCAGGAGGTGGCTCTCGGGGGTTGAGGCGAATGGCCATTCTGACAGCAAGACAGCTCTTCTGGAATGGGGTCTGACATTGGGGTGCGGGGGGGTGACAGAGGGGTGGGCCTGGTGCCTCTCTGAGCGGCCGGGGGGGCCCCCTGAAGAGTCACGCTTGGAGTAAGCCTTGGGAGCACATGGAGACTCTCGAGGATTTGGCCGCTGTAATGGGATATGTGGGCTCGGGTGGCACATGCATCACGTGTCCCTCTGTATTTTTAGTTGTTAATTGGAGTGAGTTTTCAGCCTCGTGCAGCCAGGTGCCTCAACACGCTGGCCTCTGGGCTCGTGACTCCTGAATATGGCCAGATGGTGGCTCCAGGCCCTGCCGTCAGGCTTTCAGGGAGCATCTCAGAGCCCTGCCACGTCCAGCATGCCCACGGCCTTGGGGGTAGCTCCTGCCCAGCGTGAGGAAGGCCAGGGGCATCAGCGGCAGCCGCGGGCTGCCTGGCCTGGAATCAAGCTGCAATGCTTCTGCCTGGATTCCCGGCTCTGTGGTCTCTTGTTTTCCGTTCTTGGTCACCTGGTCCTCTCCCAGCCGCCTTGGGTTCATAAGGCAGGAAGAAGGAAGCAGTTGCTCATAGCCATTACACCTGTTGGTCGTGGGCCACATTCCCCCTCCAAATTCCCTCACTCCTCAGACTCAGGTTACAAGCGATCAGGTGCTAAGTGATCCATTTCTAAATATAAAGGGTGTGGGTCCAACTGAGCGAGCCGGGAGGGTGGGGTCTGAAGACCCGGTTGCCGGGCTCCCATTCTGCCACTTGCTGTTTGCGTGACCTTGGGCACAAATTTACTTCTCAGAGCCTCGATTTAATCATAGCACTGAAACAATGCGAGGAGCAATGCCGAGTGCTTTGCACACACAATACCCCCGCGCAGTAGGAACTGCCATTATCCTCGTTTTACAAATGAACACCTGAGGCACAGAAAGGTTAAGCAATTTGCCCCAAAGCCCACAGCTAATAAGAGTCCGAGAAGCTGGGTGCTCTGTAAGTTACTGGCTGCTTGACCTCGGGCAACTGACTTACTATCTCCGAACCGTGACTTCCTCATAATAATAATAATAATAGTAATAGTAATAAATAGGGATGATCATGCCTAAGTCATAAAACCGCCGAAAGAAGTAAATGAAGTCACATCTGTACAACGCACAAGCCCAGTGGTGGCTGTCGCTGGTGACTGTTATGAGGAACAGAGGTGTGTGACAGTTGTGGATCTCCTGGGCTTGGGTGTTGTGTATTTCTACATCCATGACATTCGTGGGTCCGTCTTTGTCTAATCGAATGTAACTGAAGTAGAGTGAGGTTTTGGCTTAGTCCATCGTCCCCGCTGGCCCGTCGGGGCCAGGAGACCCGCCAAGCCCCTGGGGAAGCCACTCGTGGTCTGGACAAAGGGAAGGTGTCTACCTGGAAGGTCCGCCTTTTTATGACTGGGGGTGGAGCCAGTCGCACTGAATTGAGGAGAGGCAGCAGCTGAGGAGAAAGATGAGTTGGAAGGCCAGAGGGCAAAGGCCAAAGATCGCAGATGTTCAGAAGGATGCCGAATGTCGCCAGGAAGGCAGGGTGGCCAAGTGGGAGCGGAGGAGAGGAAGAGAGAAGAGTGATTAGTGAGCATGAGGCACAGTGAGGGAAGGTGTGGACGGGGCCCTCTCGCGGCTCGTGGGGTGCAGCACCGAGCTTGCCCTTGGATGGCACAGCATCCCCGAAGGGCAGCGGCCCTCGGGGGTTTGGCCAGCAGCACCCCCGGCCCGGGAGAGTGGGCCTCTTGGGCTGGGCCGTAGAGGCCTCGTGACACACAGCCCACCATTGCACTGCTGTCCCTTCCTGTCCCCGGGGGTGGATGGGGGCTGTCTGGCCAAGGGTGGAGCACACAGAGGCTCCGGTGGGGAGCCACGGGACTGGCTACATTGGTACTCGAAGCCAAGCTGGTCTGTGGCAACCTCTGGGTCGAACGAGAAGGGCTGGTGTCAGCAAATCTGGGGAGGACGGTCAGGGGCCGTGCCAAGTTGGGCTCCCAGGGGCTGAGCCGACCGAGGGTGTGGCTGGTGTGGGCGCAGGCTAAGTGCTACTGAGGTCTCCCCCCCCCCCCCCACCCCGGGGGCCGGTGGGTTTGGAAAATAAAGGCTGGGCAAAGATGTCTCCAGCATGTTCAACCACTTTTGGGGGGAGGCAACTCTCCATCACATTATCTGATGTGATTTTCATTTCTGGAAATTCTCGTTGCATTCAGTCTCCCTACCAATCAAAACTGAGCACCCCATGGCTTCAGGAAGTGGTCAGAACCCGTGTGACAGCGAAGATGGCACATAATTGACCTCTCGTTTCTGAAGGCATTTTAACTCACACGAAGCCCCCGGGATGAGTGTTAAGAAGTGGGGGCTCCCTCTAGGTCACTGCTGCCTGGAGGGACTGCGGCCGCCCCGAGAGCCCAGCCACCTCCCACTGTGGGGTCTGGGGACGTGCAACGTTGGGCTCTGCGTCCAGGGAGCCTCTCGGCAGAGAGGGGCCCAGAGTCCTTCCAGAATCCACAAACCTTCAGGGTAATGATCTGACTGGAGCGCAGAGACGAAAAAGTGCCGCTCGGGTGCTCCTGGTATGGGAGGGGACCGAGGTGGCAGAGACAGGGCGATGGGGGCGTGAGGGCTGAAGTCCACACACACCAGGGGCCCTGCTCCCCGCCCCAGGGCACTCCACCCCTCCGCTCCCTACCCCTCCCCTCCCTCCCTCCCTGGGATGTTGCAGGCTGGAACCGGGGCAGGGACCAGCCCAGATCCCCCATTATCTTGTGGGCCTGGAGGCCTGCCACCCCACCATGCCTGCAAGCCCCTCGGAGAACCACCAGAGCACTCTCCCTAGATGTCCCCTGCTTTCCTGCCCACGTCCAGATAAACTTCCAGCTGCCTCTCCCTGTCCGTCAGCTGAGCCCCCAACCAAATCCACTCTCCTCCCGGCCTGACTTGCGCCCTACACTGCCATCGTCACTGGCTTGCTGCACTCCGTGGCCACGGTGCTTCTGGAGCCTTCTATTACTGCTCTCTCCCTCTTCTTGTCTTTGGTTGAGGGGCAGAGAGCCCTCCCCCACCTCCACCCCCACACGTTCACTAAGGAAACACTGCCAAAGAGTCTGCTGCCCTGTTGTCTTTGGTGCTGGGGGATGCCGTCTTTCTTTCGGGTAACATAACAATCCTGTGAGCCCATCGTTTCAAATAAACACAGCTGACCTTCTATTATTGTATCAGGATCAGGCTGGCCGGAACACCAGGGCCCCCACGTCCCTGGAGATCATGCCACTGACCGGCTAGTTCTGTCTGTGCTGCTGCTACCGGCCTGTGCCCCCTGCCCGGGCCCGGCCCAGCTGCCCATGTTGTGGACCCCCTGCATCCTCTCCCAGGCCCAGGAACCCAGGGGTCAGAGTCCGGGTGGCTGACCACTGCTAGCGAGGCCCTTCCAGTGGCCTTCTGGAGCCAGACAGACTCTGAGCCTGACTTGTGCTTGTCTGCAGTCCCTCAGTCCCCTTGCCCCGTGGGGCTGGGCAGCCAGGGAAGCCACACTGTGTGTGTGTGTGTGTGTGTGTGTGTGTGTGTGTGTGTGTGTTTCTGGGCACGATAAGGCCCAGGGCACAGGGATGGGCACCTAAAGATGCTAGCCCTCCCTACTCCTACCGCTGGGGTCCGAGAGTGGCGTTTTTCTGGTCCCAGCTCACCGGGGCCCTCGATGGAGGGCACACGTCTCTGCCCTCCCTGTCCCAAGAATGACCCCCTGCCATCAGTGCACCCATCTGAAGCTTCCTAATGGGCTGCAGCAGGCTTTGGGCTCTGTATTCAGGGGCAGAGCAAGGAAAAGGAAAGAGCTGGGGCATGGGGGGTGATTGGGAGACCCTCCCAGCTCAGAAATCCCCACCCTGCTCGGAGAGGGCCTCCTCTGTTCCTAAGGAGGCACAGCGGAGATTTTATCCTTGAATCGATGCGGCCAGCTCCCAGTTGTCTCCCACCACTGAGGTTGGGGTCATCTGAAATAATGACTAACCCAAAAGTCCCTCTGATTCAGCCCGGGGCCGGCCGCCAGACACACGCACTCAGCCACACACACACGCACACTTGCACAAGCTGCACAGCCTCACGGAGGAGGTGATGTGTGGAGGAGACGCAGGGCTGGACGCCCGGAGTTCCAGACACAAATATGCCGGAAGGCTGGCAGGCCCTCCAGCACAGGGACAAACATACAAAGACACACCCGGGGGGGGGGGGGGGGGGGGGGGGGAGAACATGGGCGCTGGAGACCAGCTCTGCACAAACACACCGCTGACCCCCGGGCGCCTTCCTGGGGGCCAGCCATCCCCACGGCCACCGCGCGGGCTGCTGAGTGTTCCCCAACCTCTGTAGGTGCTGGGGGCCCAGGGAGGTGAGGCTGAGCAGGGGGCTGTGCCCCAGGGAGGCTCAGTTTTAGGGGTTCACTTACCCGATGTGGGTACTCTCCACACTGACCCTGGGGAAGGGAGAGAAGAGGCTGGCGTTAGGTACTTTTAGGGGGAATCATGCCCTCAGGGGTCCCCCCCACATGCTCATCGCCCACCGGCCCTGCTCTGGTCCTGCACCAACTCCCTCCCTCGCCCTGGCTGGCAGCAGAGAAGAAGCCCCAAGGGCCTGCCTGGCTCTGGCCCCACGGACCCCAGGCAGGATTCCGCTGCCATACCCCCCCGTGCCACGACCGCACTCAAGAGTTATGCTCCCGGCCTGGCTGCAGGTATCTTCCAGAAAGGTCGATGCTCTGGGTGCATCCCCCCAGTGGCCCCTGAGCAGGAGCCCGTGGATGGGAACTCCAGACACCAAGAGGGCTGGGGGCCACGGGGCCCTCGGAGACGCCTTCTCTGAGGTGGGGGTGCCAGGCTCCTGTGCCATTCGCCTGAGGCAAGCCCAGCAGAGCCTCCATCAGAAACGTAAGGAGATGGAGGATGTAGGCAGCCAGGAAGGGAGCCAAGCCAGTTTGCAAACTGACACCTCAAAATCCTAGAGCTCACGGCGGCGCATCAGGAAGCACTTGGGGGTGGCGGGCGGGCAGGGGCGTCTGAGAAAGGCCAGGCTCCGAGCCACCCCTCCCGCCGAGGAAACACCTCCCAAAGGCAGCTTCTCTCTTCTCTCTCACACACCGCAGCACCGCCGGGGATGCCCCCGTTCTGCTAACTTTTGAAAATAGCCGCTCTGGACTGCTTTCTAACATGGGGGGCGGGGGCGCTGTTTCCTGAGATGAAGGTTCTGGAAAATTTCCATCAGGCTTACCTTTTCTCCTTTTTGTCCTTGAGGTCCCTAGGAAGAGACGGAAACGACAGAGTTAGAAAGTGAAGCTGAGGCCACAGGGGCCCGAAGCCTCCCCGCTGGGGGCCCTTAGGGCCAGGTACTAACCGGCTGTCCTCGGGGACCCGTCAGGCCCTGCGGGGAGGAAACACACACAGGTCAGTGGGCGCCCAGAGGGTGGGCGGGTTCAGGGATGCGGGCCTGGGTGGGGATCGAGCTAGGACCCGGGGCCCCCAGGTGGGTTTTGGGATGCAGGGGCCTGAAGGCTGGGCTCCGCCGCCCATGGCTTGGTCTTCCTGTGCCCGAGATGGTGGTGCGGTCTCTACACCAAGCGTCGGCTTCTCGGTCCCTCAGCGGGTGTGACTAGGCGTGCCTTGTCCCCCGCGTGCGGCCACGATGAACAGACGCCATCCCTCGGGCGTTGCGCCATCACCGTCTCACGGGCCGGCTGGGAAGGAGGCCGCTTTTACACGCCGGGTGGTATTCTGCCATGTGGGCTGCCCGGCCCCACGCATGCCCATCTCCTCATGGAGCCAAAGAGTAGAGGTGGAAAGCCTCTCAGGAGACACCGGCACATTCTATCTTCTGCCCACCACTGCCTCAGCATGAAACCCACGGAGGCAGAAGGGCTTCTGGGCACGTGTGGGGGGCCGGGGCAGCGCTGTGGACACTGGGGGCTTTGGAGAAACGTTTGGTGAGAGACAGGAAGCAGGATGTTGGCGACCTAAGCCACGTTCCGGGCCCCTCAGAGGAACGTAAGGGGCCTTGGGGCTCCTCCTGGGGTGTCTTGTCAAGTTTGCACGGCTGAAAAAGAAGCCTGGGTTCAGGGTGGACCCTTGGTCCTTGAGGAGGACACAGGGTTCAGCTGGTTGTCTCAGGAGCTGGCCGGAGGCTGGTGTTGGAGAGCCCGCACGACCGGCGTGGAGGTTAGAGGGGAGGATGGGCGCGTCAGGCTTTGAGGACCCGCTCTGAGGCAGGCTTTCAGCATGCCGCACCCACGCTGGCCCACGAAGAAGGTGCTCATGTCAGGTCCGCCTCCCAGATGAGGTGACGGAGACAAGGTCCTGCGGCTCAGTGAGTGAGGGCACTGGGACACGAGCCGGGTTTGCTGACGGCAAAGGTCCAGCTGTTTCCACTCTGCCACACTCTTTGAACTGGGCTGGGGCTCAGAAGGCAGGGCTTCTAGACTTGGCTAGAGCCACAGCAGTGCCCCAGGCCCTGGGGCCCTGAGGTCGCTTCCAGCCACCATCCTGAGGGCCTGTGAGGATCCACCTGCTGGACCGGTCTCTTTGGGGCTTAAAGAACTCAGGGCCCCCCTGGGACGGGTCCACGTGGGGGAGAGGAGCGTCTCTGGCCCCTGACTTGTCGAGTGGACCAACCGCCAAACTGGGAAATTCCCAGGAGGTTCATGGGAGGGGACAAGTGGCCTCGGGACAATCCATGTGGCATCCAGCCCACGCGGTTGACCAAGTGTTCAGAATGAGGCCAGCAAAATGCGACGCATCCGGCAGGGAAGCAGACTGCAGGTGGCCGGGCCACTCCCTCTCACGACAGAGACAGGCATATGACGAAGGGGAGGGCCGGGGGCCGAGGAAAGTAACACCAAGGTTGGGGACCGCAGAGACTTGGAGCATCCGGTCCAGATATCCCAGACGGTGGCCCGTGGGACAACAGTGGTCCCGGAGGTATCGTGTTGATGTTTTTTTTTTTTAAATTTTTTTTTCAACATTTATTTATTTTTGGGACAGAGAGAGACAGAGCCCGACGCGGGGCTCGAACTCACGGACCGCGAGATCGTGACCTGGCTGAAGTCGGACGCTTAACCGACTGCGCCACCCAGGCGCCCCTCGTGTTGATGTTTTATTTCAATTAGCTGCTAACAGTTAAGAGCAAGGAGAATACAACACAAACCTGGATTTCAAGTCTCTCTAAATATTTCAAGGTCCAACAACAGATGGCACCGATGAAATCTAGCTGGACAGCGGCTGCCCCTTTAAGACAGGTCGTGGGTGATGTGCTAAAGGCTCTTGTCACACCTCCCCTGTGCCAGGCACTGTTGTGAGCACTGGGTGTGAATGAGCTCCTCCCACCCTGACGGGCGGCCCTGAGCAGTGGGATAAGACGTGAATTCAGAGTCCTGGCTCTCCTTAATGGCACGCGTGGGATCCCTGATCCTGTCTACACCTTACATTAGGTTCTCGGAGCTACTGTGGGGTGGCCGGGGCAGGGGTGATCCCCTTTTGAGGTGGGGACACAGGCTAAGCACATGAGAGTGAGCCCCCCCCCCCCATATGGGATACCTAGCCGAGGGGAAACCATCTGGGGACGGAGGTGAGCGGGAGACAGACAGATGATAAGCAGGCCAAAATAATTACAGTAGACAGTGTTGAATTAGTAGCTCGGGATCCCTGGGCCAAGCCAAACAGTAGCTTAATGGCTCTGTGGTCTGGCCGATTTTGATGGATGGCTAAGACCCAGGCAGGGGGTCTATCACACCGATGTGGCTCATGGGAGATGGGACCGCCTCACCTTTCCGCCTCCCCCCAAGTTACTTCTGACCCCCAAACAGACAAGGGAGACTCATGGTGGTTAAGGGGAGGGGGCAGAGGGATGGCAGAGGAAGAGCCCCATAGAAGGGTTCCTTTCCTTCAAGACCGAAGGCCCTGGCAGCAGAAAGGAGGTGTGGTGGACAGGTACGATCTCACCCCATGGGTCTCAATCCTAGCCCTCTTATTTAGAAGCTAGGTGGCCTTAGGCAATACGCTCAACCACTCTGTGCCTCCATCTCCCCTTCTGTAGAGTGGGGATAATAAGCTTTTATGAGGATTACAAAACAGTGCCTAGCTGACCATCATTACCACTTCTGGGTTGCCACGGACTATGTTATGGTAGCATCCAGGCCAGTAGGAAGGGGAAGAAGGTGGCAGGGAGAGGGTTGAGGGAATAAGCACCCCGAACTCCTGGCATCTAAGCCCCTATGCCTCTAGAACAATGGCAGCACGGAAGTGTATTCCTGCCATGGTCTCCATTGCTTCATGCATGTGCACAGCACGCTCGGAACGGGGAGGCGGAGGGGGCGGGGGGGGGGGCGGCGGACAACAAGAAATGCACCTGAAGGGGAGGTGGCTGTGACGGACAGGAAAGCTGGTTGGGCCCCTGGATTTCAATGCCAGCCCTTCCATCCACAGCCTCCAGGGCCTCACTGTTCTATTTCCAGTTCTGTGGCTATTTTAAGGACTTGCCTCCCTCAGGGCCTTTGCACATGCTGTTCTCCCATGTCCAGGGTGCTCCTTCCCATTCCTTTTTCTCTTAGTTAAACCGTCATCCCTCAGGCCCTGGTTCAAGTCTTTCTCGGAAGGTCTCAATGATCCTCAGCCTGGGTGAGATGTTGTTACACCAAGGCTTCTCAGAGTCGCTGGCACTGCCTTTTTATAGCACCGATTGCCAAGGCAATTTGTTAATGACTCGAGTGATTATTTAAGCGTATGCTCCCCCGCTAGACTGTGAGCTACAGCACGGCAAGCACTGTGTCTTTCTTACTCCTGTCTATATCCCCGGCAGCTGGCGCCGTGCCCAGCATAGTGCAGACACTCGACGAGAATGTGTTAAAGGAAGGTAGGAGGCAGGGAGATAGGGAAGGAGAGAGGAAACTAAGGAGGGAGAGAGGCAATGAAATGTGGAGGGAAGGAGTTAGAGAATTGGGTTTGGACCCTCTTTTGGATGCTCCCTGGCTGTGTGACTTGAGGCCAGTTACTCAGGCTATCTGAGCTTCCGTTTCTACAGCCGTCACGGAGCTCCTAGTAGGATCTGGAGCACAGGGTTATAGTGACAATAAATGAGATAACACACGCCTCGCGCTTAGCCCTGTGCCCACCACGTAGAAAACCGTCAATTAACGTTAGCTGGGTCTGAGGGAGCTGAGTTTTCAAGGGTCCTGTGCGTTGTAGGAGAGGCTGGGGCAAAAGCCAGGTCTCCCTACCCACCCCCGAAGCTATGCACCTCTTCCGGCAGGCAGGGTTCTGGCCTCCCGTGCCCTGGGCGCACCCCAGTTGTGAGTGGAGAGTGTTTTCACGTCTGCGCTTGGAGCAAGACACGCACCAGAGCCGGGCTGGACAGGGAGGCGGGGAGCCTGCACGTTCCAGCCCGTGGCAGGAGGGTTGCTCCCAAAGTAAAGGTGACCACCCCGCGAGGCTGGAACGGATCCCAGCCCCGGGCTGGCCCATCTGCTCTTAACGGCCCAGCAGTTCCGCTGCAAAGTGGCCCCCTCCCCTGGAGTGGGCGGCCCCTGACAAGAAGAGGCCTTTCCCTTCTGGAAGGAGTGGCCTGGGGGAGACTGTAGAGACGGGAAATTCCTTTAAAAGGCTCTGTAGAAGGTGGAAGGGACCCGGAAGCAGGTGCGGGTAACAGTCTGCTTCTCCGAGTCTGCTCTGTGCCCAACGGGGGCAGGAGCGCCCAGACTCCAGAGCCGGTTGCAGAGAAAGTGCCAGATGGGCTCCCCGCCCGTGTGAGTGAATGCAAACTGAGCCCCGAGGCCAAGACCAGTGGCAGCTGGGGAGTTTGGGAGCACCAGCCTCTGCCCCCGTGGGACACTGGCGACCGCAGACTCTCTCTGGACCTCCCTTTCCTCATTTATCAGGTGGAGAAGCCCCCCGCCCAGCTCTCCCTGCTGCGTTGATGTCAGGACCTAGGGGATGTGTTGTGTACAGCTGGGGAGCCACCTGCCTGTCCCTGTGGGCCCCCTCTGCCGGGCGGTGCTTGGCTGGGGCCCATGAGGCCTGGGCTGACCCCCCGCCCCTCAAGGGAAGGCAGGAAAGCTGGGGGTCTTACCATCTCTCCTTTGGGTCCGGGGTGGCCCTGGAAGGAGAAGAGTGTGAGTGCCAGGTACACGGTACCCCAGAAGCCCCCGGCCTGCCCCGCGGGGCTGCTCCCTCCATCACCCACTGCTCATTTTGCACGTCCTTCCTCCTCACCTGTGTTCTCGCTCCCTTGAGCTGGCACCCCATCCTGGACCCACTGGCTCAGACATGGCCATTTGCCTGCCGCCTTTGCTGGGTCTTTACTTAGCAGTGGCCAGCCGCTCAAGAGCCCTGCCCCAGGCACATAGCCGGGGAAGCTTTGGGGGACGCCAGTTCTGGGAGAGGAGACAGATGGCCACTAGACCCTTCGCTGTACTCAGCTCTGGCCTGCAGTGGGGGACTGACCAGGTGGGTGGCCAGGCCCTCATGTGGAGGATGCCAGCCGCTCGGGGGCGAGGGAGCGCGTGGGGCACTCGCTGCCTTCCCTTGTCATCTCTGAGGGCATCAAAGGTGCCGAGCTCTCCTCCAGCTCACTCTTTCCCAGGAGTGGGAAGGGGTCTCTTTCCCCCCCACAAACATTTGGGTCTCGGGCCCACGTTGAAAGGATTGAAATGGACAGAGAGAGGAGCCATGGACGGGGGTGCGGAAACTTGGGTGTGTGGGGGGCTCAACCGGGATGGGAGACCCGAGGAGAAGGGGAGGGGCCTTGGGGAGCAGGTGCCCAGGCTCCATTTAGAGTCAGTGCCTTGAGCTCTCCACCCCCTCTTCTCTCCCTGCCACCTCCTTGCCTCACTCCCTACCGCAGCCCCTTCCAAGGGCACCCCAGAATCACCAAATTCTAGGAGTGACTCTTGCTCTGGATCTGAGAGCTCAGCTGGGGGGCTGTGCATGGGCTTCTGCCCAGGGGAGGCCCGCTGGGGCCAGGGGCACTTCATTCTAATGGCCCCTCCCCACCTCCCATGGCAACAATTTCCCGCCCCAGGAACTTTCATTCTATCTGGAGCTCCTCCCGTGGAGCTAGGGTCTTGCAGAAGGACTAAGGACCCCGAGAGGGTGCACTCACCGGTTTTCCATCTAGCCCGATGGGACCCTGAAAGAGGAAAGAGGCCAAATGTGAGGATAGCATCACAAGTCTTCTGCCAAAGAGGCAGCTCGGGGCAGTGGTTAAGGGCACAGGTTCTGGACTCCAAGTTAGAGCTCAAGAGTAGGCTCGGCGACTTGCTGGTTTGGTGACCATGGGTAAGCTGAAGCCTCAGTTTCTTATCTTAAAATGGGGATGAGACTAACAGAGTCTTCCACGAGGGCTCTTTGTGAGGAGTGGATGAAATGCCCCCTGTCCAGTGCATGAGGGACAACTTGATGGGTGACAGTCGCCCTTGCGATCACAGACCTCCTCTGTGCTCCGAGTGGAAAGTGAAATGCATGTTCCTAGAACGCCCGGGGCTGGCCAGCACCGGGGCCTGGGGAAAGGGAGAGCCAGCTCCCTCTTCGAGCCTATGGTAGACCCCTCGGGCAGGGGTCACAGGACAGCCCCATGGCCACCACACAGCCTCCTGCAGGCGGATCTGCTCTCCACGCCAGGTCGGAGGTTGCTTCCCTGAGGCGCATCGTCTGTTCCACATTCCAGTGTCCTGCTGGGGCTCACCCAGCCTGGGACTTCACTCGCCTGTCCCTGTCCTGCTGTGTCTTCCTCTCCCTGCGATTTTCCCTGCACTCGGGGCCAAGTGCTAAGCTGCTCTCCTCGGCTGCTCTCCGTGAGAGGCTGCAGGAGAAGGTCCTTACTGACCAGGGTTGGAAGGTCAAGAGCAGCTTGAGGGCTGGCCCCACATGAAGTTGAACCCAGCCAGGCCCCAGGGTCACCGGGGACACAGCCAATCTCAGCCCTCCCTACTTACCGGAAATCCAGGAAAACCTCGAGTGCCCGGCTGACCCTGGAAAGAGCAGGAGAGGAGAGAAGATGGGAGCTAAACCAAGTCCCCTGGTTCACTTTCGCTCCCAGGGGGGTCTGTGGTTTCCCTCCCACTGCTCTGGGGTCATCTGTGGGAGATGGACAAGGATGGAAATGAACACCAGAGAAGCCTCCTTCAGGGATGGGGGGGGGGCAGCAGGGAAAAGGAGATGCCAGCACCCCTCGGGGTTTTCCGGGGTAGGGCTTCACTGCCTCCATGCTCTGGAACCCCGACATAGGAACAGGTGGCTGGAGATCAAGGATGGCGGGGGCCAGCCTGCAGCACCCCAAACTCCTGCTCTGCGATCTCCTGCATCCTTTTTATTGACACAGTCATCACCCGTGGCCCCTTATGTGAGGTTGGTTTGGATATCAGCAGATATCAGAACCTAACCTTAGGAATGTGTATTTCCTGACCCACATGGGTCAGATTGCTGGATTTTTTTTATCCACCCTGGCCAGCAGGGCTCCCTGGTTGGGTAACCTCTGGGTCCCCCAGTCTTTGTGCCCATTCAAGCCCACTTTCCTGGAGGTGTAGGTGTTTGGGCTGGAGACTAGAACTGGCTGGTCACGGCCCGGTGGCTTGTGGCCAAGGCTCAGGACAGCGTGAGGCCACGTGGACCCAGGGGCTGAGGAGGGCTAAGCAGGAGGTCAAGGCTAGCGGTCTCTTCTCCTCACGTATCGTTCACAGCCGACCTCAGTCTCACCACCGGCCCCACTTTCCCTACTCTTTGCTCAGGCACACGCTCACCTGCTTTCCCTGGACATACCGCACCTTTCACACGGTTAGCCCTCAGCCTGGCATCCCCCTTTGACTGAGATGGCTACAACGTCCTCTCAAGCTCGGGCTTTTGAGCCTGGCAGACCGAGTTCTAGTCCTGCCTCCACCCGCGGTGGCTGTGTGACGAACCTCCTTGGACTTCCCTTTCCTCATTTGGGGGTGGGGATCGCAGGATAACCTCACAGGGTCATTGAACTACATTCGATGACACTGGGAAAGCCGGCTGAAATGGTAGCTGTTTGTTGGACTGAATGGAACCTGGGAGCACCAGAATGAAGCAAGGTTGCTTTGACCCGGTACGCCTTCGGGTCAATGGAGGACGGTCCCTGCCGAGGGGTGGTTTCAAAATCAGACCCCATTCGGAGGCAGATTTCTCTGCATCCATCTGCCGTGAACCTGGAATATTCCAGGTTCCTGGAATTCTCCAGGCTGCTTGGAGAATTAATCTATGCATAAATTTATAATCCATAATTATAATATGATCCCAATCCCAGTGAACTGGGTTGTTGCTGGAGGCTGCTTCCTCGAAGCCACGGACAGCAGTGCCCGGAGGCCTCTGCTCAGGGGACACAGCTGAGTGGGATGGGGACCCTGCCATCAGGGTGGGAGCACCAGTCAAGTCGGGAGGGAGCCGCAGCATACGACAGGGTGGGACAGGCTTGTGGCAGGCAGCCAAAGGGCCGGAGCGAGGAGATGCCACTCATATATCAGAGGGACCTGGGCTTCTCTCCTCTCAAGGATAAGTGATGCTAAGAATAGGCCTGAGGAGAAAACCCGGAAACTGTGTGGTGTGGCCTCTGGAACCTCCCAGCGTAAACTTTCAACTACTCTGAATGCTGAGAGGCCTGAGGACAAAGGTCAGGAGGAGAAGATTCCAAGAAACATCTTCAAGTCCCACTGGGGATAATGTTTACATGGTAGGGATAATCACATGTTTTGCTAATTGCAGAGCAGGTCCCGGGAGCAGGATGCCTGCGCCCCCCCCCCCCCGACGCAGAGCCAAATCTGGGGCTCACCAAGGCTTTTTCAAGGATCTTGGGAAGAATGTTGTCACTGACCAAATGGAAACTGGGACTCTACTTCCTGGAGATGCTGGGCTGGCTAAGGCGCTCAGGGAGGCCTGGAACTGGGTTTTAATTTACGTCTCTTCAGTTTCAGGCTGGAGTCGGACGTCTCTTCCAGTGTTTAATGGCCGGTCATTTACTCGTGAGCTGCCTGTTTGTATTCCTTACCAGCAAGCTCCCCTAGCTGGTTTGTTTCCCATTGCCCTGAGTACAGCTCTTTGTCAAGGACAGTAACTCTCTGAGAGTCATGTGTGCTACAGATATTCCTTCCAACTTGGCATTTGTCTTTTTTACGCTGTGTTTCCTGCCAGATGGAAGTTTTACGTGTGTGTTGACAAACTTATCAATCTTTTCCTATGGCTTCTGGGGTTTCGTGTCATGTGTCCAAGGGCTTTCCTCAGTGTGGATGTAATAAACGTTTGCTCACGCTTTGTCCTTGTATTTTATGGTTTCATGTTTTATATCTAAGTATTTTATCCATTTGGTATTTATTCTGATCTAACAAGTGAGGTGGACATATGCAACTCTTTCTTTTTTTTTTAAGCTTTTTTTTTTTTTTTTGGCTTTACCTTGTGGTGAATGGCTTGTCGGCTTGTCCCCGTAATGCTTTGTCCCCGTAAAGCTTGTCAGCTTTACCTTGTGGTGAATGGCTTGTCTCCGCCTCATCTCCTGGACCATCTACTTTGTGAAATGAAACCTTTACCACGGACTAAATTCCCAGATGCGTTTAGCTTTATTTCTGGCCTCCCCATTCTGTTCTATTTAACTGCTCTGTTTTTACAATACATTTGATATGTAGTAAAACAGCCAGTCCCTTCCACCCCTATCTCCTGCACTCAACTTTTTCAGTATTTTCTTGACATCCTTATGAAAGCTTATTTGTTGTTGTTGTTGTTGTTGAAAGCTTATTTTTTTTATGAACGTTATTCTGTTGGACTCCCAACCCCATCAAGAGTTCACTGGGATTGGGATCATAGTATAATTATGGATTATAAATTTATCCATAGATTAATTATGGATTAATACTATGTCCTTCCATATAAGAACAAGGGAAATACGTTTTATTTGCATTGTTCTCCAACATCTCTTCCCTTAATTCAGGCTCGGGGTAGAGAAGGAGCCAGGAGGATCCCGCTTTTTGGAAGTGGACCCCTGCTACCTGCAATCCGTGCGGGGTAGACATACATAGACAGACAGAGGTTCTCTCTCCCTTCCCTTCTGTCTAACCCCTGAAAATGGATCAGTCCTGTATCCGCCCAGAGCCAGTCTCCCCCTCCAAGCATGTGCTGACTATCTTTCAAACAAGATCCTGCGTGGTCAATGTTTAATCGCTGGCTGAGGTGACAGAGAGTGGGAGAGGAGAGTCCTGGTTGGCTCAGTATTTGCCAATCTCTGTGGTGTAAATATACCTCCCACCACAGCTGATTTTAAGCTACCAACATGATGCCACTGAACATAGGGTTCGGAGGGGGGTACATGACCTGCTCTTGTGAGCCAGTCGATGAGGCAGGCAAACATCTCCCCTTGGACGTTACAAGGACATCTCAAATTCATCCTGTTCCAATTAGACTCCTCTTCCCCGGCATTCCAATTAGACTCCTCTTCCCCGGCACAACGTGCTCCCCTCTCTGAAGAAAGGCACCATCATCCACTTGGTGACTCGGGGGTGGGGGGGGGAAAGGTCAGGGGAGCTTTTCAAACCGCAAATCTGATCAAGTTCATCCTCCGCTGAACGCAAACCAAGGGCTCTCCACTGCCCTCAGGACAAAGTCCTGCCTCCCGAACACCCTATCCACGTCCTTCACAACTGGGGTCCCGCTCCCCTTGCTAGCCTGACCCCTGCTTTGCTATGCAAAGAACTTTCCTGCTGTCCCTCACCCGGTGGTTTATAAGAACCTCTCTTGCCTCAGCGGCTCCTCCCCAGCCTCATTACCTGGGAACCTCTGCTCAACCTTGATCACAGCTTGGTCATCCCCGCTTCTCGGTCTGCCCCCCCCCCCCCCCAGGGGGGGGCCCCCCCCCCCCCCAGCCCCGTCTGTATTATAATCACCATGGGGTTGCTGGTCTCTCTGCCAAGGGGCGAACAGGCTGTGGTCAGACTGTCATTGTCTACCCAGCACCTAGCCCCCAGTCAGTGCCTAACAACTATTAATGGAATGAATAAACAAAGAAACACAACAGGTGTATCGACCCAGCATGGCGGGTCTCCTTGCGCCCGAGGGCTGGGCGTTCAAACGGCTCCTCCTGGACCCTGAAGGAAAGCTGGGGGGTTCGGGGAGGAGAGAGCTCCCCTTGAGATGGGGTGTGTTTCCTAGCCTGGCAGATGACCTGACCAGGGTCTGCTGGGCCAGCCAATGTCCCGGCCTCCCCCCTCAGTTTAATGGGGCGGCCACTCCAGCATCTTGCCTCACTGGAATGTGAACCATCCCTTTCCCAGGTGTCTGGATGGTTCCCCCTTTGCTCGGACTATTTAGGAAGAGATCAAAAGAGGAGGCAGGTGGTCCCTGAGAGTGGCAAGGCTGGTTCTTGTTAGGAGCATTTATTCTGAGCCCTTTCTGGCTGTACAGAAAGCCACATGTGCCCCATAATCCTTGGCCACAGAGGGTTTGCCTGCCTAACCTCTACCCCTGAATGATAAACATCCCCTTTGTCTTCCCCTGTCCCCTGCTCTCACCAGATCTGGGTGGCTTCCGGGTGGCGCCGAGATGGTTGCCCCGGTCTCTAGTGAGGACCCATCAGGGGAGACCACCGTCATCTGGGTGATGGTCACCCCCACAGACCAAAGTAGAAGGAGGCCGGGCTTGGTCAAGCCTCCAGGTACCATAAAACCTCTCCCACCACCAGCACTGCACCCACAGGGAGAACTTGTTCTTCTCCTTAAGGAAAATTTCCCTTTTGAACATTTAAAAATTTCCCTGGCCCAAGCCACGCTCTAGCACCGACCAGCCGAGGGACCTCAGGTGGGTTATGAAACCCTCAGTTTCCTTCTCTGTGAAACGGGCAGACGGGCCTGCCTCCCAGCTTTGTTGGGAGGGCTGGTAGAGGCCTGGGCAGAGGGGGGCTTTCAGCATAGGAACTAGGATAAGACAGGTGCCCAGGAGACAGAAGTCATCACTGCTACCTGAATAAAGGGTCCTTTTCACCACTGGAGTCAAATGCAGTGCAGGGGGTGGGGTTCCTGACGAGGCCTAGGCACGGCTGGGCCAGAAGCCAGGGGAGCTGGGGCAGACTACCACCCCCGGGGCCTGTTCTCCAAAGTGGGGCCTCGTCAACGACTTCTAGAGAGCTCGTTGGCATGGTATCGCCAGAGAGGTGTTGGAGGGCCGGCACGATAGACACGACGGAATCTGTGGCCAGACTACGAGGCAGGCAGAGATTTCTCTGTGAGCTTCTCATCTTCTAGTGGCCCCCTGGCTGAGCACCACCTTCGCCAGGAGCAAGCGGGCTCAGGGCGTCCCTGCGGGGGCTCCTCTGAGACACACAGAAGCTCGTAGCCCAACGGTGCCACGGCCACGTGAGCCCAGAAGCCCGGATGTCAGTGACCCCGCGGCCTGGGGGTCTGCTATGGCAGCGGGGGTGCAGAGTGCGAACTCGAAGCCGCGCGGCCCGGGCTGAGTGACCGAGCGTTCCTAGCGAACGGTCCTGGACAAGTCACACTGCCTCTCCGTGCCAGCCTGGCTTTTCTCACCTTTGAGATGGAGGTGTTAATAGCCCCTACCTGTGAGGTTCTCATGAGGATTCGACGAGTCACTGTGCGGAAAGGTCTTAGGATACCGCCTGCCACAAGTTAAGGGCCAAGTGTGAGCTCTTAACACCATCGCTGTGGTCTGAGCCAGAAGTCTTGCCTGTGAGGCCACGTCTGTGCAGCCCAAGACCCTTCCGACTCTGTCTCCAGCGTAGACCCCCGAGTACCTGACCCCCCGATCGCCAGCTCCGTCCTCTGGGCTCCCTCTGACTTGCTCCCGTTTCCAAGCGGCCCTGAATGGCCCCCCTCTCAGCTTCCAGCTCTCAACACAGCCCTCCCCCTTGGACATAACTTAGCAATGTGTTCTCTGACCCTTCTCCCTAGACTGTGGGTAGGAGAGACTCCTAGTTGCCACTGGCTCCCTCCGGTGAGGGCAGGGGCATAGGCAGGCTGGACCCCACCCATCCATGGGGCTAGCCTCAGACTCCCCGAGGCTAGCCCTCTGCTCCCCTCGGCTTCTCACTGGCAGGGCGGGGCAGGAAAAGTGCACGGCAGGACGTGGGGATGGTGGCCTGGTCTATGGTGAAAACCCTGGGTGCCAAGGGTCTTGGGTTCTAATCCTGCCCCAGCCTCTGGGCCTCCCTAATCCTGGTCCCTCTCTGGGCCTCAGTTTCCCCTTCTGAGGAGGCTGTGTTAGACCTTCGCTGAGGTCCATTCTACCCTGACACTTGGTGATTGTGCTGAGGCTCTGCGGTTTGGGCCCTCCTTCCCGCAGTCCCAATATCTTCCCACATCATCACCCGTGTCCACTTTTGGTCCCTGAGGAAGCATCTGAGGGGAAGGCTCTGATTTTCCCAAGCCCCTGCGAAGGGGCAGAGGCTACCAAGAAGCAGGACCCGGCAGCCTGCCCGGCAGGGAGCCTTTGAGGACGAGTGGTAGGTTGAGCCTCTGCCAAGACCGGGAGTGGGTGCTTGGGGCAGTGAATACGGATGCTGGGGATCTGCTCCAGAAGCTGCCAGAAACAAGGTCTGTCCCCTGGAAAGCTGGAGCGCCCCATCTGAGGAGGAGCGAGTACTTTCTCCCCCCTGCCTGTAAACAGCAGGGCCGCCTCACAGCTGCTGGTTTCCTGGCCAAAGGGTGGCCCTTGCGAACCCTCCTGAGGGGCTGTAATTTAGGGATATTTAGTCAGGCCTGGCCGGGTTGATCGCATTGTGGGCGGTGGCCGCCAGGCCCGGAGGCACAGCCAGGATTTGCTCTCCCTCCAGAGCCCTTGTTATTAACTCGCCCGTCCCCCCCACCCTGAAGAAGAGTAAAAACCACTTACAGGGGGGCCGCGGGGACCGATGATGGACATGCCGGCATCTCCTGGGGCCCCCTGTGGGAGAGAGAGAGAGAGAGAGAGGAGAGGGAGAGGGACAGGGGCAGAGGCGGGGGGGGGGGGGGGGGGGGGGGG